ACTCGACTAAGATGCCACGTTTATCATCGATTCCAACAGTCTTTTGATAATACTCTTCAAATTCATCGCGAGATATTTTTCCATCACCTTCTCCACCATTTTTTTGAAAATCCTTTGAAAGGAAAACACAATAGCAAAAAGACTTCTGAAAGTCTTTTCACGCACGTCATACATGGCTCGAATTACTAAATACNTCGATCTTTTCAAATTCGTCAGGTGTACTCTTGATCGAGCATGCTGTATATAAATACGAATTCAACAAGCAATGTTCGAGATGGCACGCCTCTTGAAGCAACTTGACTAAGAGTTGATAGCTTTCGTTTTGTTGCTTTGGTGGTACAGGTGAATCTATATCAATAGAAGTGTGTTTTATTTAAGTCGATTTTTATTTACGGTTAAACATTTCGAATAATTAGAGGTATTAGCAGCTTTCATCAAGAATAGTTTAATTACCTTTTGCAAATCTTTTGGGCTCATTCTCCTTCAGCAAGTTGTTGATTGATTGTTGTTTGCGTTTATCATCCATGGATGTATTTATTAACGAACGAAATCTCGAGAAGAAATAACGAATAAATGCCTTGAAAGATACCAAATTGCTGTATTTATATAAAGCAGATAAGAAAAAAAGAAAGAAAAAAAAACGTGAGAATGAGGTTAAAAAAAACTACTGTTAGCTTTGATATTGAGAACGATAAGAAGCGAGCGAAAGAAGAGAGGTGTTAGAGTAATTGAAATAAGAAAAGTCGTTTATACTGCGCAATTCGAATGCATGATAACAGGATCCATTTTTCTTGTTTTATTTAAGTTACCAAGGGGCAGAGTATAGGCATCGCAGTACCTTGAAGATGAACTTATATTTGAATATTATTTGTAACTGGTCGAATGACATTGTCTGCTGTTGCTCCGCAGTGTAAAAACTTCGCAATCCATTTAATAAATTCTGGTAGTACACCGACGCACACCCAAGGTAATAAGAGACATGCAAGGTAAATCAGCTCGGTTATATAATCCAGTTGAATTTGTAGTGCAAAATCCGGAGAAAATAATTATTGAATGAGTGCAATGACCAGACTCGGTGACCAGGCAATTAGAAAAAGACTGGATATACTCAATAACTGTATAGTCATTCGTCGATGTTTTCGCCAAGTAACAAGTCGTTGGCGACGATATTTGTTCCTAACCACTCGTATGACGAGGGTGACATTGGCCACGAAAATAACCACCATTGGAACACCATTATTCATTGCCCAGTCGAATGTGCTCAGAATGTTGTCATATACGAAATAACAGTTTGCGAAGCCACACTCATTTTCTTGAAAATCCCATTGAGTACCGTCACATGTATAAAAAAAAGTCGCGAATATGTAAAACACAATTGGATAGATGATATACTATACAGCGTTTAAAAGACACTTGTGATGTTTGTGGTTGAAATATAAGTGTGTGCCGTTGTACGGAAATGGTCGCCATCAGAAACTCACCGATGACAGCAAGGCTATACGCGAGAAATGTCCACCACGTACAGTAAACTGCTGTTGTTGGATAAACGTAGGAAAATTGGAAGAAATTTATAGTCATCGGTATACTGGTGGCTAATTCTATGAAGTTGGCGGCTAGTAAAACTAAGAAAGCTTGATTTTGAAGATTTTTCAACGCAGAACGATGTGTGATGAAGAAGACGAAAATCAAAAGACTAATGATAACTGCTGGAATTTCCAGCACAATTAAGATAAAAAGCTTTATTCGATGAAGAATATGTTTTTTGTCGTCGAAAATTTCTAAACTGTTTGAACTCATTGTGAGAACAAAAACGGAACTAAAGTCTTACATTTATATGGAACATAATTATATATAAATTGCTGCTAAGCTAGTGTCGTTTTCTCCAAAGAGGAAAGAATGTGAAGTAAGCTGAATTATTAGTTCAATTCGATACAAAAACGTTTGGCAGTTTGTTTGATACAATATAGAGCAACTATTCACGCTACGCTTGATTTCCGCTCGAACTACTCGCATTTTCTAATATTATCGATTTGAATATTTTCGGGCCAAATTTGCTTATCTATTCGATATATTTTTCACTTATACGTCAACAGTTTTATCACACTCATTAACATCTACCGCTCTTTGCTATAAAACTATCCTTTGAACAACGAACGTTTCAACGATTTCCAGGAACAATGTGTGAGTATAGCCATTTGCTTTATTATCATTCGTCCAGTCAGACAGCTATAACGCATTAAACGGAGAAGTTTTATGATGAGAAAGTAAATGCTTTCAAACTTGTTTCTATTTAAAAGAATAGTTGTTTCTTTCTCTTCATGCATCAACTCTTTCGATATCGAAGATTCCTTGTGTTCTCCATAAACACGAAAAATCTTTCTCCGTCTTTTGCTTTCAATCAGCTAGAAGTCAAAACGAATTACATGTCATAACAGATTGAATGAACATCATCCAATGTCCGTCAGTTGGAGATGATAGTGACATTTGGACAATACAGAATTTTTCTTTTCTTTGTTAATCGCAAATTTAATTCTTTTTTCCTTTCACGTTTTTCACGTATACACAGACTTGCAGAAAGTTTCCTTTTGTTTTTGTGATTCACAATCAATTCAAAACGAAAAAAAGTCCGGCGAGAACTCAGTTAGAAGAAATAAATTTGAACAACGGGAAGCAGACTACGAAAATCGCGGCTGGAGCAAATTGAACCGAGTCTTTTGGCTTCATATAGAATTTATGTTAATCAAATTCAAGCTGTTTTCATTGCGGATTATTCAAATCATCGAATTAACCAACAGATGCGCTGGTGGAATCTAAATCAAGAAAAAACTCGCATCGACAACATTTCGTGCCATGCCTTGATAATGGACACATATGGATTTTTCTACGTTTCCCATGTCAAATCTTTGCCGCAGATCAAGAGAATCATCGAGTAATGCGTTGATGTGAGGGAAATCAAGAAGGTGAAGAATCAAATCAGTTTTGTCGTCTCCTTGGTTTATCACTTGATGACGGAGGCAACCTGTATGTTGCTGATTTTAGAAATGGTCGAATCTCAAGATTTGATTTGTGAATAAAAAAAGGAGTCAATTTTAGAAAGGGAGCTCATTTTCGCAGTAAATTTCGCATCCATTGACAAAAATAAAATCGATTATTATATAACTGATAATTCTGAATTGTAGTCGTATTTAATCTTATTCCTTCGTACAGAACTATTAGAGGCTGAACGGCACAATATTTTTGCGCATGTTTAGAACCCGCTTCTTCAATTCGCCTCTGGATATTCCAATCAGATCTGTGCAGCTGAGCAAACACTCCAAACTATCGAATGGATGCGACGAACGCTCTCACGCACCCTCATCATTCGATCGACGTGTCCATTTATAAGCTGCATCTCAGTTATATTTGATTGATGGCAATGTGGAATAGATTATACACAGCTTTGATTGCTCGTCCGTGACGATTCAATCGAAACGAGAAACAGCGATCACCGAACAGACAAAATGTGAGAGAGCAGCAAAAATATAGGTAAAGCAAACAAAGGAAAAAAAACAACGAACAGAAGTCGCGATTGTGTACAACGGCGTTATATTCTCATTTGGAAGACGACACTTTGGAAACAACAGTAAGTTCGGATTAAATTATGTCTCACTAAAAGGTGGTAATCGCTTGAACGCTTTTCTTTGAGTTTCTTATTCACTGTATGAGGTAAGAATATAGGTTAGAATGATATTGATGCGTACATATGCTTCCTACTCTCGTATCTTCACTCTCGAATTTATATTCAATTAAATTGACGGCTAATCATAGCAGAAAATGTTCGAACAGATCTGACTGCTAAAATCATTATTCTTGGTTGAATTATTTTCGTTCTGTATGCGGTACTTGAAACAGAGGTTTCATAGATCAAAGCGTCTTTTCGAATTCAGTCCTGCCGTTCGCCCTGCAGGACAGGACAAGACAGGAAAAATGTGCCCTGTGAATACCTCTGACGCAGAAAGATACAGTCGTGCACGAATATAAAAACATCAAAGTGTAAAAACTATAGTGGTAGGCTACATCCAAAGCATAAGACGAGTTTATGTAAATCAGCGATAATACTGGTTGGGTAGTATAGGAGATTTTAAAGTGTCATTCAGAACAGAGATGACCACAGGGCAGGGCGGTTTCAAAAAGTTGCCCTGCCCTGCCCTGCTAGCTATACGTGTTTATCGTAAATTCTCAGAAATCTTGTTTTTGTTTAAAAATGTGCAAAATTACTAGAAAATCTATCATACTACGGTAGTAGCTGACCTGAGCAATGCTTTATAATGAGGTAAATTTTAGATAAAATAATAGCAATCTCGAGAAAAGAAAACTGTTACAATTCTCGGTGCCATCAGAAAGTAAACAACTCATAATCGTTTATCGAAAGAATTTGTTTAATAAGAATTTTCTAGATGAATTCATAGCTTACTTTTTGAAAAAATGCAACTATGCACGATTGAAACTCGAACGGATATCTGCAAGAATATTGAGAGGCTCATTTCATCTGATACACTCTTAATTACTAAAAAGAGTAAATTTTAAAAAATATTAGGATGTCGCCCGGCCATCTGTCAAATCCTAGTTACACCACTATCCGCAACATCAGTGCGGCAACGAATTTTACTGGTCTCTCGAATGCTGACACTAGAAAGACGACTCCATGTACGCATCGCATAAATATCTAATCATAAAGATATCAACTTTACTAAACTATCCACCATCATTCTGCAGATTGTTTTTCTGCATTGGCTTGATTATTCCCTATGTTGTTTCAATACTAAATTTTCTTTTATTTTTATTGTTTTCAGAGCGTCATCGCAAGTAAACTAACTGTGAGCACAGTCACGCACTCTGTGATGATCTCATTCCCTATTAAGCTATGCACGTCAACTACCTGTATCATTATTGTGCTCTCGTTCGTTGTTGTTTGGAAGAGTCCCTTCATACATATGTCAACTAATCGGTGTGAAGAAAAAATGGTTCGTGGCACGAAGATAGGCAGCGATCATAATCTGACTTCTCACTCAACGAGAAAAGATTGCTATTCGATACTATCAAGCAATAAACAACTAAGAGAATTTAAACTTTTCGTTAGTAACCAGTTGTTTACTCGTTACTTAACTGATTTCCACAAGACTCAGAGTTGGTTCGCGTTCGATACCCTGTTTGTACTATGGTTAATAGCTGAATTCCAGTATACACATCTTCCAATAGTGAATGGAGCAATCGGTGAAATTGGAGTTCATAGAGGTAAATTCACTAGCTACTTGTATTTGCTTCGGCACCGCAGTGGAAACCAAACACTATTTGCCGTTGATGTCTTTGCTAAAAAATCATTGAATATTGATCAATCGGGTAATGGTGATCGAAACGAGTTTTTGAAAGCCATCAAGACATATGCGAACGTCTCTGTTGATGAAGTTGACATCTACGAAGGCAATTCACTCGATCTGAATTCTGCTTACTCAAATAATACAAGTGCTCAATATTGGTGGCAGAAGAAAGTTGGCAAGAATGGTTTTCAAATAGTATCAATTGATGGTGGCCATACCACTCTATTAACCTATGCTGATTTATGTTCTGTGTCAAGGTTTCTTGTCGACGGCGGCATAGTAATCGTAGATGATATTGATAATCCGGGATGGTTAGGAGTGCGTGATGGTGTTGGTCGCTTTTTATCAGAGACATCATCATTATTCAATATAAATGATGACTCAATATTATTTAATATGCTGAAACGGCATACCTTTGCACCTACGTTAGAATTTTCTTGTCGTATAGTCGAGGTGACTAGTAAAGCTGGTCAATCTGAGCACGGATGCTCACGCCTAGTACCAATTTTACATTATGCCAATAAGCTGTATTTGACAACGTCGAATTATTATCCTCATTATATGAATTTTTTAGCGAAACTCAATGCTAATGGAGTGAATGTTGTTACTTACGACGCGTTAAAGTCCGTAGCTGGTAACGTACCTATCTGGAGCGACAGTCAATCTAATCAACGAGGTATTCCCAACAATAATATACGACCGACATGGTTGGCAGAAATTACGCGAGCTACAGGCTAGTTTACAGTTATTACGTAAATACTGCACGATGTTGATGATCAGTGTGTAATTAGTTCGCATGATTGCGTAGTCTCTTTTGAGTTCTAAATAAATATTTAATGAAACCCCCGCAGCTGCAAAATTTCTCTCTGAGTTGGCATTCGGGTCAGAACTTATATATGCATATATACTAAGAATTCGTTTTCAATTTATGTCGAAGATAAATGGAGAGTGTTGATGTGAGTATGAATGATACGGTTAAAAATTATTTCGTGCTCCTTATAGATTGAGCTGGACCAATGCGAACGAAGTCGATGATCTGGGAGTGACAACTAGTGTGACGATAGCTATTCTTTAGCGAAGAAGTTTGGCTGAGAATATTTATTTACTTAAGTTGGTTATTTCTTGTGAACTCCAGTTTATAATTTTTTAGAAATATTTCCGTGAGAGAAGAAACCTTGTATCAATTACATTGTCTAAATGTTTCTCATAATTTGCATGAATGAATCGAGAACAATTGCATACGGCATGAAATTCAAATGATAAATAGACACTTATTGATTATTAATTAGTGAATAAATTTTCCTACTTGAAGTAGCATCAGTCACATGTGAGCTTGGGAAATATTCCAACCTGAATTCTACAGTTATGCCACGAAGTGGAGTTAGATATATGTGCTAGTCTTATGCGAACTATACCGGAAAAAGTAATTTATTGAAAAAAGTCAAGGATTCGAATGGGAAGAGTTCTATGTAGGAAGCCATTAAATAATAGTGAATTTATTTCAATTCAGTAAATATACTGGCGAGTTCTTCGTTCTTTGTACATCTAAATATAGAATATTATTTCTATTAAAAATAATAAGGCAATTTCAACAGTTCTTTACCCTTGAATAAATTGTTCTTTATTCAATTTCTGTGCTTGAGTAAGACCAAAATCTCGGAAAATATCTTTAGCATGTTGATCGACATTAATCGTTGATGCTTCCTTACGTCCAACTGCTAATATCATCTTAACAAACACAAAGAACTTCATATTATTTACATTTCTTCTTCAAATGTCACCGCTTTTTCTAAATAAGTTTTCAATTCATTAAAGCTAATACGGCCATCACCAGATGTATCCATTCTAAACGATCAATCAATTTGATATTTTCGTAGGTATTTCAAACAGTATTCTTACACGGCGAATGAAAAATCCAATATACCGTTCAAATCCGTTTTACCATGGGCCAAAACAGCAAAAACAAATTCGGTGAAACTGATATAACCATCGTGATTAGCGTCAAATGCAGCAAAAGCATTACTTAAAAACAAATCATCGAAAAGAAATCTAAAGAAACTATAATAAAACAATACTCGACTAAGATGCCACGTTTATCGTCGATTCCAACAGTCTTTTGATAATACTCTTCAAATTCATCGCGAGATATTTTTCCATCACCTTCTCCACCATTTTTTTGAAAATCCTTTGAAAGGAAAACAGAATAGCAAAAAGACTTCTGAAAGGCTTTTCACGCACGTCATACATGGCTCGAATTTCTAAATACAATCAAGGAAAACTTTTCGATTATGATTTTGCTTTAAATATTACCTTACCCTTCTCACTAAGTCTTGAATTGGCTATGAGTACAGCAATTTCTAATCCGAAAAAAGAGTTTGAAGTTATGAAAATCAAATTTCAGGATCAGGAAGAAGAAACGCACCCAGATCGCTCAACGGTGTTGAGCACCCTTTAGAAGCGTCGTTACCCATGAATAGTCTTGTATTGAATGCAGTAGTTTTGTGTCGTACGAATGTCTTATATTTATAGAGAGAAAAAAGTTATCATCATACTTCAATCAAATAATAATTGATCGAATGCCTTAGGCTAGCAAGTTGTTACGCATCCAGTATAAACATAATGTCGTTTTTAATAGAACATTCATTTTTAGGCGAAAAGATCAAATTACTTTGATTAAAATACGTATCACTATTCCTTCCAGCAATGGAACATTACCGTTTAAATTTTAGTCGTCTACCGAACGACACTTAATTTGCTAATAATACAAATGATTGAATGGAGCAAGAAATAGTTTGAAAAAAGATCTGATTGGAGTAACTTTTCAAAAATGTTCTTTCCATTAATGAAAGAAACTTCGGTGGCGGTCGATATTTCGAGAGTAACAATTATCTACTAATGAAATTTCAACGCAGTTGTTCTGACATAAATTTGGACAGTGAAATGATCTCTAGTGTTTGACCGAACTGTATCCTGTCAGAGGAAAAAGTCAACAAGAACGCGTTGATATGCATAACCATGTACGATTGTGAACATGTAAAAATTCCGTAGAATCAGATTTGTCTGCCTGGGTAGATGTGAGTCATTTATTCTATCCACAGCTTTTCACACAGAGTTGAATTTTAATAAAAGCAAAGGAAAACGATATAAAATATTTATCTCATTCTTATCAGGTATGAGTAAAAATTTTTCGTTGGAAAAAGCCAATGTTACATGTCTTAATGTACACCGATAAAGCTATTTTATTTTGACAAATAAGACGATGGCGTGTGATTGGGAGTGCAGATTTTATGAATCCGCACACATCCTCACCTTCACTGGTATGCATTATAATTAATTGTTTCAATCTTATTGACTCTTTGTCTTTTGGAATTGGAGCACCAATCAACTTTACTTCCGTTCTTTTTTGTTTTTCACTTCTGTTATTTCTCTTCTCTTTTGTCGGCTACGCTGTTCTTTCGTTCCTCACATGGCTTATGTGTATCATATTCTCTACATTTAGTTGTTGTGCAACACCATATCAAATTCATTTCATAAGTCTGAAAAGAAAGTTGTAGTCGTACCTTCATGGCTGTATACGAAAACAATTTGATCACGCTTGTAAAATCTTTTCAGAGTGCACTCACAAACAAATCAGTCAGCATTTGCGTTAGAAAATTCAGCTCTATTATATGAAGATCATGTTTTAGTCAGGAAAAAACTGTTTTCTTTTGTACAATTGGGTGACAATAGAGATGAATGAATACTGTATATTTTCACACATTCGAGAATAGTTTTGTTTTATTTATTAATAGAGAAACTTGAATTTTCTAATTCTTTCTCACGAAATATTTCTTGTATCTTATGCAAAATTCCACGCACGTGTTTTCTTTATTTCGTTTATCAGTGATCTCCAAGCATTTCATTTTAGATCGAAAAAACCTTGCTTTCTTATGGTAACTTCAATGAACAATCTACCTTCCATGAATTCCCGATGTAAACTAGCGTTGATTGTTGGAATTAGCAACTATGCGAGAAAAAGATGTTTGCCAAATGCCATTAATGATGCGAATGAAATGACTAAAACATTGAAAGATATTGGATTTGAAATCCATGACAACCAGCTCAAATTAGATTTGACATGTTAAGAAATGCGGTATGTTCTCATCGATTTTGAACATTCGATAAAAGAAGGAGATTTGGTTTAATTCTATTCCGCTGGACATGGAATTCAGTGGGAGGCAAATCTTCATGTTTTACATAATCCGCAGAAGTCCTTTTGATGATTTCGATTTCCAGGATCAAAATTATTTGATTTCGAAAAATAATTTTCGGGAAATATTTATTGATAGAAAGACAATACAAGTGCCATTAGGCGGTCTTGAATTGTCAACACACGCAATAAATACACAAAATCTACTTAATTCGATCAATGATCGAAAACCATTTGTAACAATAGTTTTCCTGAATTGCTGTAGAACTTATCATCTACATCATCAAGAATTACAGAAAGATACTCGAGGTGAACCAAATCCATCTCTACACGGATTAAAGCCTATGCCAGCGGAAGTTAGGACATTGATTGCATTTGCTTGTGCACCGGGAACAACTACCGATGATGGAAATAATGATGAAAAAAAATGGATTTTTTAAGAAACATTTATTACAACATCTTAAAACACCAAACGAAGATATTGAACGAATATTACGTTATGTCAACAATGGAGTTATACAAGAATCATAGGAAAAACAAAATCCACATGTTACTTCAAGTCTAACACATCCACATATTTGTTTGTATGATAAGCAACAAAGTAAATATTCTATAGTCGATCGAAACTAAGGTTCTTTTTTTCTCAGACCAACTAAAAAGTTATCTGTGCAAGATGCTATACAGGACATCAAGCAAATATTATAGCTGAATTAAAGATATAGGAGCTTAGAAAGTTTGATACTCGAGGAAAATCACAAACAGAAAATGATGGTTTATATATCTGAGCAAAATACGAAGCAGACATTCTGACTAAAGAACGGCTTTCCAAGATAATTCCAAAACATAGCGAATGCAAACAAATAAATTCTTTCGAGAATCTTTTTGAAAACATTTCAGTTGGCTTGTTATGACGAAACGAAATATTTCATATCATTTGTTTCTTTTTCTTTGATTAAATTTTCATTCACCATCGAAATATGAACTATCGAGTTCAAAAACAAACACAAGTGTTCTTATTCGAACAAAGTTAACAGCGGTTCAGCCTGGTAAATCCTCCATGGTTTTGTTTCAAGTAATTCTATATTGAATGTCAGGCCACTGTGTATAAATAAAGTAACATAACGTTCGGCTCGTTGTAAATGAGCGGAGTAAGTAGTTAGTGAGCTTGAACTCGTGTACGTGTGATAGTAATCTCTTTATCAGAAGCGAAGGGTATTTTTAGACGAACATATGACATGAGTAGGGTCAAGCAATTTTTACCTTCGTTCAAGATAACGATTATCAACTGAAAGACCAACAAGTAAGACTGTCTAGAGAATAAGGTTGGCGGATAAAACTACATCTTAAATTAGCAACAACTCGGATCTAGATATTCCGCCTGTTGCCTAATCTCTAAAAGTTAGCCCGGGGGAATTCGAAGTGTCATACTCAGCTTGTTCGTCAAAAGTCAGCCGTGAATATTGTATCCAAAACTTTGCATATAGGACGCAGCTGCTTGTCTAGTTCTTGAAGGATTAGCGAATCCATCGGTTAGCTGATGTGTGAAAAATAGTCGAAGGTGACAGGTGATTCCATATAGGGCGTTCCGTTATGTTATCGGTAGTCTATGACAAGAATATTGCATGTTAAGGACTGTAGCGGATCATTGGACTTTAAACTTGAGACTAAATTCATTCTTCTAGGCTAGAATCTTCCGCTTGATTAGCCTATGACACCTGTCCGAATAGCAGGATAGTATGGGCAAGAGCTGCACAAAAATTTCTTTTAGTCCATTCCTTGTTCACTAATGTCTATCTTCTTGTTTCAATATGAATTTAAATTTATGACTCCTCTTCCAGTTAAGAGTATATGCCAAGTCTGGCATTTGATCACGACATCAATCTATGCGTGCTACCAACTCACCTTATATTCATTTATTGATAGAAAATAGATAAAATGCTGTACTATTTTCTCTTTGAATACTTATTGAAATCCAATCCAGAACATTTTTGCAAGACCTAAAGCGAAAGATTCTTATTAAAGCGAATCTTTCATTTTATCCAAAGATAAACTTTGATTTTATTTTAAAATGGCCGTAATCTTTTTGAGAATGTAAAGTTTATTGTTATTTTCGAACTGTTACTCCAAACATTTAAGATAACTATGAAATTTTTAGATTATTTTATATAAAAGTATGGAAAAGTCTTTAATAGAATTTTTCAATAAATTTGACTGTACAAACACGAAATTATATGAATGTGGCACTGTTGTTTGGCTTGAACTGAACTCAGATGACGAAGAAGGAGAAAAATTCATCGATTGTATCACAGATAAAGTCGACCGAGCAAAAATATTTGATGATGCAGACAGTTGTATCAATTTCATATTATCATCACAAGATAGCCAAGTATTTTTTATAATATCAGGAACAATTGCCAAAACTCTTGTACCTCTCATTCACGATATCGAATCAATTGGTTGGATATTCATTTACTGCAAAAACTGTCCCATATACAGAATTTATACGAATGAAGATCATAAGAAAATAGTTGGCATTTTTGATGATCAAAACTTTCTTCTATCAATTTTATTTCAACATCTTGAAAAATATCAGTGAGTTTGATATCTAAATAATAAAACCAATAGTTGTATTCGAATTTAACCTTGGAATCATCTATTGTTTTTCTAGAAGTTCCTGTCATGAACAATCGAAGAATATCCTAAAAACCGTGCCACGTCCAATAATGAACATGTTGGTTCAAGATTGGTTTTATAGAAATAGTCTAATTCCCGCGACAAGAACACAATATGTATTATTCTTATATGATTTGAAAGAAAAGTCTGCATCTAACTTTGATAAAACAGCACGTAAAATGCTACTCTTACAAAATATTCATTTGGAAGTTGAACATGATTTAAAAAGTGCGTTTAAAAAAATGGGTTCATTTCCATTTTCTTATTGGCGTGTAATTTTGAATGATACTTTTGCAAAAGGCTTTGTTGCACAACAGAAAGAACATATGATTCGTCATCATGTTTGCATCAGCTCTATTGTGTATGATCAAACAAATTGTTCGGATTTATCTTGGGCTCAAAATAATCCTGAACTTGTTAGAGAAACTGCTTCGGTTTTGACGAAACCATCGTAAACACAAAAGTTTTTTTTCTATTTAGGTATGGGGCGGCGTCACATCGAATGAAGAAGTTATTTTCTTATTCTGTAGTGGTGATCCTCTTATGCGCATTCAGAACATATATATTGATAATCTTCATGCGTTCAATAAACAGAAAGCCATAGATTTCGTCAATGATAGTTTAAAAACCAAGCTCCCATTCTCATTTACAACAAGTTCTCCTGGTTCATTACCAGTAAAATTAAACGGAAGTAAAGAACAATCGCGAACAGATCGTTTTACTGATCGCATTACTCCTCAATTTGCCGTTGATTTTCGTGCGATTAGTTCTGTACATGTAATGAGTAATTTACTTACCGTTGATAATAAATGGAGAGACGATGTGTCAACACGTCGTGTACACGGTAGAACAATTTCATAGCTTTATCTTTCTAGTTTTTACGGGTTGCTATTTAATTAATTTTTTTTTATAGGAATTATTTATCATGCAGTACTCAACGATCGACCAATGGATCATGTTCGAAATAGATTACTAAAGTGGTTATTACCTCCCGGAGATATGATACCACAAGAGGTGACTGCTGTTTATTGTATTCGTGCTTTTACGGAAGAAACATTTTTGTACAAAGATGTCAATATTGCATTAGCTAAAAATGATCAAAAAGCTTTGCGTTGTCTTCGTGATTATATTCTTGCATGTATCAACGTCTATACATATAAATTAATTCCATGTTATGCAGGAATATTATATCGAGGTGTTCAGATGACAGATGATGATCTTAAACAATATAAAGTCGGCTCAGGAGTTCAATTTGTCGGATTTCTCTCTACGAGTAAATCGCTTGAATTCGTTAAATTTCTTGGTACGAACGTTATTTTTATTATTCATACACTTTCATCACAACATCAACAAAGTTTAATTCTATATACGAATGCAGATTTGCATCAATCGAAAGTATCGGTTATGGCAGACGAAGAAAAGGAAGTTTTATTCGCGCCACTGTCGACGTTTGATATTAAATCGATTGAATATTCTAAAAATGAAAACATCAATTTTATTACGTTGCAACAGAATGATTTGTCAGCAGCACTTCACATGTTCTTACAATGTAAGCAAATAGATGCTGACAAAGGACGTACTGGTGATATGCTTATGATCACGACACCCTTAGAACTTAAATAAATACTTTAATCATCATACGAAAGTTTTCGTTTGTTTTCACACAGAAAAACGATAATAAAATAATAAAATTGAGATCATTTTATGACTCTTACATTTCATCTTAGAATTAATTAGGATACAAATATGGTGCAGAAGGTTCAATCTTATATTCGCAATTGGTCAATGATCTTGACTAAGTAAAACTACTGTTTTTTAGCAAAGCAGCATCGTGGTAAAAATATTCTCTCAATTTAAAGTGGATATCGATGAATGCTATTTCGTCAAAAGTTATTCCTTCTACTGAAAAGGAAGTCATGCGAAACAAAAGTTTTTGCCCGTATTAGGATCAAAGCCTAAAAGTCAGCATATAAAAGAACTTCGACACACCACCCGAGAATCGATGAAACTGATCATTCTAATATCGACGCTCACAAAATCAACCCATTTGAGATTAAGAGTAGCAATTATAGCGTTGATGTATCTTAGGCGTTTGCTCAGTGTTGGGAAGCTACTTTTCACTAGAATCCTTATTATGAACTCAGCATAACATTTGTATAATTAGAAGAAACGGCATCTTGAGATCCAGCTATCAATCATATGTTACACCGGACTCAGTAAGACACCAGGACGTCGATTTTATACATGAGAGTGTTAAAGTTAACAAGAAGTGAAAAAGCATTCTTCTATAAAGCATCCTAGTATTACAGTAAGTCATTTGTAAATGACATTCCTTTGAAGGACTCTTTTTTTTTAAAAAGTTATCATTGCTATGGGTGGAAAACTTTCTTCCTATAGAAACACCGTCGTGATGTCTCAAACGTTGACGTACAATAAATATCCAACACTAGAGCGGTAGAGTATTCACAACAATAGTCGACGATTGATAAGCAATTCAAAAATAAATAAAACACAATGAAGAAAAAATGTAACGCACTTCTGTTTAAATGTAAAGATTCTAGAATATTACTTTACGGCGCAGAACATAAAGAAAATGTTCTCATCTTAGATTCAGTGTCATCTACTTGGAAAAAATGTTGTGTTAAGCCGGAAAAAACCAATATGCTAACTTCATCAATTTCCCTCCCCATATCAAGAAAGTTTTTTTCGTTCTGTTGGATACGCAGAAAAAGAAGATGGTTCATTTCCTCCAGTGGGCGAGGGTGTGAGCATATACCCGACACTTTCTGTGACGTTTATTAACGAGGGAGCAACGAGCAAGCACGAGAAAGAGAGAGATACACACCCCAACGCAGACGCCCTCTTATGTATATATACTTTATATAATCCGAGAATCTCACGTCATATACAAATGCGACTACTAAAAGAATGGCATGACACTTTTATCCTCACAATATCACGTTATGCGTATGGAATTACTATTTATGTCCAAAAAAACGTTCGTTGACCATAGGTGAAAGATAAAACATTTGAACAAAGATTAGAATTTCATATGAATTATATATCTTTGTGATGAATCCTGTTCGACGTCAGTATGACACAAAAAAATGCTTCGTGAGAAAACTTTGACAAATGAGAAATATCGCAACTACGCACTCCGCCAAGTATAAAATTCATGATATAAATGTGGTAAACAGAGTGTTTGCTGCGAATTTTTCTGCAACAGAGTGATCCTGACTTGCTGATATAAAGATTGTCTATGTCTTTCATCGTCCTATAGCGTTCTGGTACATTTTAATATCGGTCAATGATATCTGTGCACCACGATATACCATTCCAAGGAACCCTTTATCTTGAGGGTGGGTGAAATTCCAGCCCAGAGATTCTATGATTGAAACCGCTGCGAAACTTTTCGAACTTTTTCCATATTTCTAGAAAATATCGATGAGTGTTCGCACACTATCTAGGAAAGTAGATGTTGATGACCTGGGTGAATCTTCACCCACGTGATTTCGCGATAGCAACTGACGGTAAGAACTCTACACTACTTCCACAGGACTACGCAAGCGTAGCTTGAGTGTTGGAAGACCAGTAATCGAGGCTAAATAACTATATTATTAGATCACTTATTAACTTATTATTCTTTCCAACTTGCTTCTCTACAGCAAGTTCTTGTTTTAGCTCTCACAAGATAAAACTACTTTTTATTTTACTGATATTTACTTTTCTTATGCGCACGCTGATAATGAATATATCTCATGGGATTTTTCACAGCTTCTAGCAAACAATATTGATGAAATATTTATCTTCTTATCTTTATTCTTGTTTGCTCTACATAGAACATATAAATATGCAATTACTGCACCCCATACATTTCATATCAACCATTAAAATATTCAAGAAGCAACTTCAACGTATTGGGCCATAAATGAAGGTTGTCAGAAGCGAAAGAATATTTTGATAAAAGAGAAGTAGGAAAGAAATTATCAGAGATGACAGCGATCTTCCAAAAATCCAAAACTCAATGATTTAGTGAGCAATTGTATTATGGACAGTCAATTACGAATTTCTCGTAAGAAAAATGTGAATAGCAACTCTAAATTTCACTATATGCGTAAGGCTGAATTGATAATAATGGAGAAGTCTCATGATACAAGACAAACAGCAATGCATGATGATCAAAAGAAACTGTGTAATAGAGTGTCCTAGAAGAACAACCGTTGACGATAATATCAAGTAAATGTTGACTGACAGAAGCCAAAATAATTGTCACAGTAAAACATTAGAAAATAGGCGAGATTAATGCTAAATGTTGATAAGACACTTTGACTGGTGTCACTTGAAACGTTAAAGTTGCTTCTTGAATATTTCAATGGTTGATATGAAATGTATGCCGCAATAGTTGTGTTATTTAGGGTGGGTAACGGCTCGAGTAAACTTCAACCACATAACCTTTGTATTAGTTGACCTCACTAAAGGTCTTCAGATACTTCAATGACATCCTTTTATAAGATGGCTAGATCAATATGTCGGTCGAGTTTGCATATGAGCATTCTTCACGGATGTATTACTGATAATATATGTATCCATCGAACAAGACTAATTTTCGTTGATCTCGACAAAAGCCCTGGTAGAACAGAACTTCTACATTAAATTGTCTATTTTCTCAAGTTCTTGAAAAGAGCAATCTGCAGATAGACAATTTCGAAATGAATTCTTGCACACATTGAAAAAGATGCAAACCTTCGGAGTAAAGAGGGATATTTATTCTAGAATTTTACTCAAAAGGAAGAAGACCATGTCAATCTCTAATACATGGATCTATTTTTGACGATGTTTTTGTTTTTCATGCCATCGACTATCTGAATTTCAATTATTGGTTCAGCGGCATTGCCATAAGATGTTCTTGCGTGCTTACTAGTTGTCTGGTCGTTTTCCCCATCTGTTGTTTATTTCCTGCTCAATCTTTTCAATGGGAATTGTATCCGTTGATGATTTTATTCTATTCATGATTAATAAGTAAAGTTTTCCCCTTTGTCTTCATCTTGTACTTTAGAGAATTTCTTTTGAACGCTCTTTGAAGAAACCCTATCTACGATTTGTATGCGGATATTAGATTTGCTCTGTAGATCACGCAAGTGTCGACCCTTTTTGCCAATGAAACAGTCAGTTTTTCTTCAATGTTTTGGATAATACAATGTCGATGGAAATGAAAATGATACAAGATGATATAAGCCATCGATTTCTGTAGCTTTAGCTGTTGCTTGTTTCCATTGTTGAATTATTCGTTCTTTGACTTCGTCAATTGGAACTTCATCGGTCGTTGTTGTTGTAAATTGCTTTTTCTGGTAATAAATATATAAAAATTACCTTCATTTTGTTCTCCGGCAATTTTTCGAAAATGTTGCAGATTAAAACATTTTCTCATTGATAATATGTAAACAAATGTTGTATTAATTTTCTAAATTGAGTAAATTTTCACCTTTTTTTTTCAACAAAATGGCTCATTGTGATTTCACGTTCTATTGCCGTACGTCCCGAATCGAATGCAAGATATACGAATTGAAATTGATTATGATCAAAACAAAACTCTCTTTTGATAAATTCGATCTCTCTTGCTTCTTTCCATTTCTTTATTATTTCCTACCGTATTTCATAGAAAGGAATTGCATCTATCACTGATTTGTCTCTTCTTTTAACGAGTACCTGTAATTCATTTGCATTAATTACATTTTGTCTTCTGATTCGTCTCCTGCTTGAATTTATATTGACAACATGAATAAGGACACCGTATTTATCTTGTAAGTCAGCTAAATTTTCCTCTTTTCTTCCAATAAAACGAGCAGTTTGTGCATAATGTTCTTCAGAACGTGTTTGTGGTTCAAATGAAAGAGTAAAAACATTAGAAACTTCTGTGAGGGTGTGAAAATTTTTTATGATTGGAACCGATAGAGCTCGTCGAATTGAACTTGGAACTAGGGTTGGTTTGATTGGAACCTACGCTGAAAGGAATCCGCTCAAAAAATGTAGAATCCTGCCCGAAGGTATTCTACATTATATACTCATAGATCTATGGAAGAGAACGAAAGGTGATATCAAAGTAGAAAAAATGCACTGAAGTAACGACACAGGACACGCGTACAGGGTATGCTAAAAAAATCGTCACAATAAGCAAATATCCTTTTTATTACTTAAAAGCCAGTTTTTATATTTGAAGACTCTTCACTGAGGAATTTTTTGGCTAATCATTTATATGACGGTAAAACACATGATTTTAAGGTAAAAGACAACGTTCATTTTCTCTATTTAGATTAATCATATCTTGACTATGGCTTCTGAGACAAATCAATGTTCGATTGAACTTACACAACATTTTACAATGGTTGCATTAGATTACATTCAATGCATTAGATCTCAAATGTAATCACACTGTCGTAGATCTTGGCTGTGGACCTGGACAAGATTCTTTGTGGTTATCAAATAAAAAAATGAACAAAGAAATGAATCTAATTGCTAGTGATATATCATCCGGTATGATGAAAATCTTAGATGACGAAACACACAAACGAAACTTATCAAGTATTATCAAAACATATTGTATGGACGCAGTGACTTTTAGTTAACAAAGACAACTTCCTCCATTTCATCGTTTACTTTTAAAACAATTTATACATTTATTATCGCATGAAGAAAGATTATTAGCTTTTAGAGGTTTCTATGAACAGTTGGATTCGAATGACAATAAATTATTAATTATTGGACGCCCTCCAAAAGAAATATTTCCATTCGATAAACGTACACAAGAGATATTTCTATCATCAATACCATCTACAGAAACTTGTATACAAGAATTAGAAATATGTGGATTCGCAAATATCCAATATGATGTATACCGTTACACATCCGATGGTTCAATAACATTAGAGCATTGGATTAATTTTATACAAAATAGATTATGGTCGATCTTTTCTCCTGAGCATATGACTGATGAACAAATTACGGATTGCATTTTCCATCTGAAAGCTAAATATAAGAATGAACAATTTCAATTCCCAGACGAAATGTTAATTTTACATTGCACAGCAAAAAAGTCCGTTACACAATAACAGTTCAAAACGAAACTAAACAAATGAAAACAAATATATTTTGACACATCACTAGTAAATATGTATTTGCGATTGCAATAATTGAAGTGACCTTCATTTAGACATAATAAAAACATCTTTGATTTTATATTAAACCTATAATATCAATTACTAATAAAATATGTCAAATATGTTAGATTTTAATCATCAATATACGCTGAAAACATAAAGGATTGGTACGAAACTCTTTTGAAGGTTTCGTATGAACCTAAAACGCTTTCGTTATAAAGTTTACTAGATTGGCAGCAGCTTTGGAGTTAATTTTCATTGGATTCGATAATGTTTATTTGAAATGGATTCAATTCACCATAAAATAATCAAATAAATATAAATAATCAGTGGACGTTTCGACGGCTAGTCCTTCTTTATCAAGATATGTTGATAAACAAGAGACCAAAAAGAAACATGAATGAACTGGGTTAATACGTTGTCGCCGTAGTAGAAAAATCAAAGAAACACGTGCATTGGAATAAGGTCTGAATTACGGTATTTCATAAGACTAGATATCAACCAGTGACAGTGAATCCAATTTTGATTTGATCTTGACTTTAGGGTTTGCTGGTACCAAACACTCACGAAAGACTATTAGTAGCACTAAGCTTGTTGTTCAATACAGGTTCCCAGGTCACGGTAGCCCGGTCGGTTTCGATCTGTTAAGTTCATTTTCTGACGATTTTCTCGCCGCTGAATTCGGCTGGAACCGACTCAGATTTATGATAATTAATGTGGAAAGATTCTTTGACTGACAATTGATACTTTTTGTGATCTTTAGCTAGATTATTAAAATTGCCTCACTGAACATGATAATTGCTATCGATCACATGCTGTTGTACAGCTGATTACATTGGTTTATTCCACATAGGAATTTTCATTTCATGGGATATCTAAGTAAAATAATGAACAACTTTGGTTTTATTTCGATGAAGGCGTCTTAGGTTAGGGGTGTGGAGTCAGCAATTGATTTGATGGAAATTATGTTAGTTCCATGAATTAGATAGGAAACTGTTCGATATTCATGAAGTCTTTTGGTTACATGCTGTGTATATGTGAGATATCTTGGACACGAATTCGCGCACGAATGTATTCCAACTCTGATCACATTTGTTCCAAGTGAAATTCGGTGAGTTCTATCTATTCGAAGAAAAATATTCCGGGAAATATTCTTCTGAACTCATAGACAATTGAAAAAATTGCCCAAAAATCTTGAAAAACATGAAAATTTCAGAAAAACGCGAACGGATTCGTTTCGTCGCTTCCAGCGACCATTCCAACCCTTATTCCCGATACAACTCGACGAGCTCTATCCGTTGCAATCATTAAAAAAATTGTCACCCATCCTCACCCCTTACTTTAATATGCTTTCATTATGGATATGTACCACACTTTAATAAGCCAATTTATTGTAGATGTTGAATTTTAGTCAACTATATTCTTATTGATTAATCTTTGGGTGATACAATGTATGTTTCAGTTGAACGTTATCTGTTTCTTTTCTATAAACAATTCATATTAAGACATAAAACTCTAACTCATTATATATCTTTAACAATCTTTATCTTTTATCTTCTATTTTCTTTTATCTATGTAAACAACATTTTGATTATAATACATATGAATGTGGTTGACGATGTTATGCGACAACGCAACCAACTGGTTTAATCGATCCAATTATTCTCGATATACTTATTCTTACTAGAATCATTGCAATTAAGAAACATACTGCTTCTTCTGCTTCATCGACTGATTTTTGGAAACAAAATCGGTATATGATTATACAATTAGTTGCAATTTGTATTTGAATCTAATTATTCGGTCATCCAGATATGCTTCAACAACAATTTTGTTTTTATTCATTCAATGCAACATGTATTCCTTGTCTCGGTACACTATTCTTTGTTACCATAGGTTTACTACATGAAGTAAGACAGAAAATGACGAATAGTATTATGTTTATGCGAAGAAATAAACCAGCAAAATACACTGTAAAAAAAAAGGAGTTTTACCAAACCAAAAAAGGATCTTCCCACCGATACACGGGACGATCCTTTTTTGGTTAAGTAAAATGAAGGTTCCGAAGAGAACCTTACAGGAAAAACTGAGAACAAAGGTTCCGCAGTAAAGGTTTACTACGAAACTTTTTTTCTTCAAAAGACACAAGGTTCCGTATCATAGGTACCGTACCGANCTAAAACTATATATGACTTTATTAGTCCAGTAACTATACAACCAAACGATCCGAATCTTTTTCTAAATACGTTTTCTACGCTCAATGGTGAAAATGTCATTCGATCGTATCAATGTAGTGAAGGATGTTCACCAATTTGTGGACCAAAATCATCTGTTGTGTTCACTGATAAGCGAATCATCGCTCGACATCAAGAACCCGATGGTTGTGGTTGCTGTTCGAACATTTCTCATGTCGATACCGTTATCTTCATGCGTGATATCGAAGTGATGAAAGAAACAGATCAATCAACGGGTACACGTTTGGCTGCATTAATTATGGTATTGACTTGTACATGGCCGATACTCCTCTGTAAAGTATGTTGTGGGGATCATCCGAAGGTCTTGGAAATCAAAGGTGCATTCGGCTCGGAGTTTATTAAATTCAAACGGGAGGAATTCAAACATGCAGCCGATGAATTATCGTCCATAGTTCTGCCAATGAAGAACTGATTACATATTTTTTTCGAACTTTGAACGGTAAAGTATCATATTTCCTATTGTCATAAATAGACAAGAGTTTTTCATTTCAATAAAATTCTTCATTTATCTTTCTTATATTCAAGGATACCAATTAATTTCTCAGATAAAAAAAGAGACACCAATGAAATATACGTTAAGTAAAAGAAAATTTGGATTTGTTTGATGAGAGCAAGTTATTTGGAATCCATTGTTTCCAATCTGATCTATCGAATACAAAGGAAGCAATTGTTCAAATTGAAACCAGTCGAAGTCGAAGAAGGGAAGGAGTTAATAGCAGTAGTATTTAAAATTCTTTTAAAGATAAACGACATTCATTAATAGCCAACAGAATTAAATGTAGGTACACTATACAATATAGAACTGAATGTGTAAATTCTAAAGGACATGACTACTCATCTTCTCCGTGTGCTTGGTCGATTAAAACTTTTTGTTTCATTTATACAAGAATCGTGTTAACGATTACTAAAACGAATGAAATACTAGTAATACTCATTAGAAGTGTCTCAGTCTAACTATCGGTAAAATTAGTTCGAGTCAACGAACAAAGATTGATCAGTTGATGAATGCGGAACCTGAAAAGACAACTTATCATTTACTTTTCATGGTTCCAATTTTGAAAATGAATGTTAATGAAACGATCTTAGATGGCGGGACAAGATCAACTAAGGATTTTAAACTGGAATTCTTGCTTTTTACACTGTAGTGGGGTTTAAAACAAAACTGTGAGCAACGTAGATATTAAAGAAATTCTCATTGATACTCCTAAAATTCACTTTTAATGTCCGATAAAAGCACGTGTTATTGCCTCAGCAAAAAACATTTCGAAAAGCTCGAATCAGTTTCTTGTGACTTATCATTGTTTCCTTTTCAACATGTATGTCATTCATATTTCTGTATCACTCATTCATCATCATACCCTCAAAGCCCTCAGAATTTCGATGTGTTAGTTTTTTTTTTGAATTTAAACAATGCAAGTTACAATCATCAATAAAAAAGAAGATCTAAACCAAATGCTGCTAAATACATAACAAATATAATAGCAATGGACCATTCGATCGATGCTGCAACAGATTTTAATGTCGATACATTGTTAGGTCCTTTGATGCTACCCATAACTGCGAAAGTAATGGCCAATGGAATAACCAGACCTATAAATGCAACACGAAGATACACTGTAAAATTCCATTGATACCGAGAGAATCGATGGAAAACTGTAAATATAGCAGAAAGTATAGTAAACACGATAAATAGACCAGTAAACGTATAGTGAGCACCACTATGGTTGGACGAATCAAAGATGGATAGAAGAATCAAGGATGCGCCTCCAATTAAACTGCAAATGATGGATATAACTGACATGCTTCGTTTAAATCGTCGCCGATTCTCCATATCAAAACAAAGTTTCGTGAATAGAAGTGTCAGAAAGAAGAATGTTCCCGTAATGCTTGTGCCTATAATAAACGCAGTTTTGTGTACAGCTCCGACATTGGATATGTATACTACTTCGCCATCGTCTGGTTCATATCGAACGAAATCATCTCGTGCCCATAAACCAAACAGAGCTGCTATGGTCGCGAGCCATGCTAGAGAAGCAATGAGAGATGCCAATATACCAAGAATTCTGGTTAATAGATGTTGCCATGATGGAGAGACAGCAGATAACATTAATTAATGTGATAATATGTTTTGAGGGTGAGTGCGTATGGAAGACAGTGCATTCGTCATTAATATCTTATTACCTCTCCTTTTTGCTATCATCACATATTATTACTCACCTTTCAACGTGTTCTCATAGTGTAAACATACGCATTCTCTCTTTTCATTCTCGAAAAATACCTGTGTGTACAAGTTATGAGAGAGGGAGAGAGAGAAACCGAGAAAGACAAACGTACTTTTAGAACACACGTACTGTGGTTTAACGGGTAACATAGTACGTTGAGAACAAAATTAATAATTTGTATCGAAATAAAAACAGACTCTAATAATATTTGCTACGGCATTCACGTAGAAATAAAAAATATAATTGCAACGAGTGGAAGATTCTTAGCATTTCAAATCCTTTTCTCATTTAATGCTCTATCACTTTTATTGCTACCCACCTGGTAAAAACAAGCACGTCGTTGTTGTTGTTGTTGTTGTTATTGGTTTCGTTATATTTCACTGCGCTTAGAGTATGCTACGCAAGCGTGTATATTGAGAAAAAAAAACTTTGTTTGTAAATAAAGAACTCGCAGGCGACATCATGGTAAAGAAAAAACGATCGTTGTAGAGGTTGTTCAATAACCACATTTGTCAACAGTCGATTAATTACAATCTCAAGTCTAAAACAGAAAGAAAGAAGAAACTAATAGAATCAAATGGAGAATGTCATTTGGAACAAATACTTGAGAGAAATATTTTTGACGGCTTTTAATGAAATAGAAAAATTTCAACAATTGATCAATCTACTTTTAAGGTCAATCAAGTCATTTCAATGATCTTTACACTATGCAGATATTGATTATATCTCAATTTTTACGAATGTATTCTATTTATCGCAGACATCAACAAAGTAACACGAGCTCACATTGATGTATCATTCAAAAACGTTCAGCTAGTCACACATTCATTATCATCAAACTCCTCGTTGATTATACTACAAATTTTTCTTCGACTTTGAAAAGTACAATTTATATGAAGAGAATGTTTTCATCCATATTACTGATTATATTTGTTACTAATAGATTGATTCTTTTAACAAATGTCACAGCAACGAACGTCATCATTGAAACACAAAAAGGAATAGTTTTGCATAACATTGGTGTATTATGAGCAACTTGAGAAATCTATCGTCCATATACTTATACCTTTCAACGACTTATGTCTTACTTCACCAATTTTAGATGTCGGTGAGTGCGTTCAATCAAATGGTCCTGAAATCTTAAAAATTGGAACTGTTCTGCCATATTCAAAACCTGTATCTTCAACATAGGGTAAGAGTAATATTTCCCTCATAACGCCAGACATGAAGTTGATAAAAATTGATCAAAAAGCAAAATCTATTTTATACTTTAAAAATGACAAGTTTTACCTACCTAGTTAGACAAAAAAAACACCAGTCGATACTTCCATCATGTCCACCAATGACAACCGTCAACCAACAATTTATCGCTCGAATAATATTGCAACACTAGTTCTTCAACAAATGTTCAATAATAAAATAGGATCCGACTTTTTAAATGATGAACAAATAGCAGAACTTTTACTGTTGGTCGATTTAGCACATAACATTAAGCTTGATATTACAAATACTGAAGAGAGCAAACAGAATTTTATTAACCCTTTGTTGGCGGGCATGGTATATATACCATCTAGACTATTTTCTCAACGCTGAGGAGTGGTATATATTTCAAATCAATCAAAAGTGAGTAGAATCAGCCTGTAGAGTACTTTTCCTGTATTGATAAAGTAATCCTGTCAGTACTTCGAAATATTAGAAAAATCCGAACATAGTGCATTTGGTAATTTATATGGTAATATGGTAACCAAAGACGAATTTCTATCGGAAGACTAACAATTGATTCACCACTATGTTTATCTGCTAGACATTTTCCATCACTTGTTCCTACTACTGCTTCAAAAGCTGCTGCGCAGAGGACATGTTATGTATGCTCTCATACAGAAAAAAAAGAAAAATCAGTCAAATACACAAGATATCAGTGCGAAAAATGTGATGTTTGCTTATGCGTAATTGACTGTTTCAAAGCTTATCACACCTTAAAACACTTTTGATGACGGTTTTTGATTGAATAAATATCTGTTTTCACTATTTTAAAAAACTTGACTTGTTCAAAAAAAACCGCCAAGAAAAGGTTAAGAAACCTGGAGTTTTCCGTAAATAGAACCGAATTTTTTATCAAAAGTTTTTTTTTGAGCAGATCGAACTTCAGAGGCGAAAAAAAATCAGAATAAAATTTTTCCAGAAAAGTGGTTAGGTCCTCATGGATTCACTCCTCCTTATGAATTTATCTATTAGTTAAGCAAAACCAAGTCAAATTCTACAAGATTATAACATGATATCGCTTATTACACCAAGAAAGCCTCGTATAACTCCAGCATAACGACGCAGTTGATTTTAATAGTGTCATGAACATTTGGATTGGTCAGTAGAAGATTGGTGAAGCGTAATTTTTCCGATGAAAGTAATTATGGAATAGTTAATTGGAAGAACCAAATTTATATTCCTTGATTTCGTCATGATCCAGGTCGATTATATCATTCACAACAGCGAGTCCATAAAGGTAGTGGAATATATTTATTTAGTACATATAATCATCTATCTAACTAATATATATACTGAACTGATCAAGAGGGGAAAAGCTTTCAGCGCAATCCCTAACGGGATTAAAATGTGAAACATGATCCAGTCAGACAAACTTTGAACACATAGAATGGTCAATTTATCTCTCAGTTTGCATTCCCATTTATCTAAACTTAAGCTGTTGAAAGCAACATATCGTTATCAATAGCGATGTCCGCTGCGTTTTAAGAAAATTTTTGCTTCATCGGTCACAATATGTGATCCTTCTTATTGTGCTTCCATCAATCGATCTCGATCTGTGACACGAACTACACTTGTCGATGTAACGAAGTTGAGAACGAAACTGTCTGTGAGACAATGATACACAGTTTATTTGATTTTTCCTCTAAAAACCTCTCTCTCTCTCTCTCTCTTCAGTTTTTAGGTGTCCGCTTCTACCAATAACAGTGAATAACGGTCAAGGCCTGTCGGTAACACTCTGTGACAGAATCTTTCGGCTTGTTTATAAGGGTATTTGACCGGTTTTCGAGCCTGCCTGTGATGGGGGTTTCAGGCCGTCTGTGGGGGGTCCAAGTTTCTGTCCCACACACTTCAACACTCTCTTTCAGATCGTGTTTCACAAAAGCAAGTGACGTACTTGATTTCTGAAATCTCGTTCTTCTCCCATTGGAACAAATAAATGCTCTTTAGAAATGCAAAATAAATTTTCTTCGACAAAACTAGCGGGGGGTGTCTATTATTTTAGAGAGCTCTGTATATAAATCTCTCTTCTTTTCATATTGTAGTTCCACCACGTCTTGAAAATGGCATGTAAAATATCGAAACCTCGACTCATTTTTGTCTAAATTGATTAAAAAAGTATACGAACAAATTTAGTTGTCGTTATCCCTTACTCATATATTAAACTATTTTATTCATATGACTCTGTTTTCGGTCGAGCGAACATAAGCTCAATTCAGATTTACAGGAAAGCCGAACAATAATTTCCGATGAAACGTTCCGTAAGAATTTGAATCTCATTCTTCCATGAAAAATATCTTTGACAAGTTTGTCATTATTTTTAATAATTTATCCTATATTTTATTGCGCACGTTTAAATCAAAGAATTTTTCATTCTTTTTTCTGCGTAGTATTTATTTCAATAATTTCCTCTTTCTATTTAAAGTTCTTTTTTCAATATGCTATCTAATACTGCACAGTATGGATTGTATTTGGCCTTTCTTATTCCAGCTATTTTATGTTCATTATTTGTTTTGTATTATTTGTTGTTCGATCGAGCATTACGTCAGGCTTTGAGCAATCATGTCATTATTGTTCTTGCTCTGATTGCTTTCATACAACAAATGACAATATATCCAGGCATAGTATATTTTTATAGTCGGAATGGTATATGGGAAAGACCATTGATCTTTTGTGAAATTTGGGGACTTTTAGATTGGGGACTATATATTGTACAAACAATGGTTTTTGCTTGGGCAACAGTCGAAAGACATATTCTTATATTTCACGACAAATGGGTATCAACAAAGAAAAAACGTTTCTTTGTTCATTATTTTCCTCTCATTTTTCTGCTAGTTTACTGTTTCAGCTTGTATTCGATGATCTATTTCTATCCACCTTGCGAAAATTCTCTCCTTGATGGTTATCCTCTTTGTGTTGTGGCGTGTTTTCAAAGTAACTATGTATTTTATATGTGGGAGGCAATTGTACATCAGATCATACCTAGTTTAATCATTGTCTTATTCAGTATCGCTTTGTTTTCGCGTATTTTATGGCAAAAGCATCGTATGAATCAGCCAATTAATTGGCGAAAACACCGAAAAATGGCTGTGCAGTTGTTGTCCATCAGTCTTCTTTATCTTATATTTTCTTTTCCGCCCGCACTGGCAACCACTACAACTTTCATCAATCCAGCAGTGAATCTCACTATCGACACTTGGGAGTATCTGAGTTTATTAACTTATTTCACTTATCTTCTCTTTCCTTTTGTATGTGCCATGTCTTTACCAAACCTTCGTACCAAACTGGCAAATCTTCTGTTTTTAAAACGTCGTACAAGAAAGATCCATCCATGACTGTCGGAGACGATAACTACAAACTAATCATCTAACTATCACTGAATAGACATTATGATTTTATGTTTAATATTGTGTCTTAATAAAACGTGAATAAAATCATTCATATACAATTATTAATTCAATTTATGCGGAAGATAAGAGCTTTTCATTGACGTACTTTCATTCTCATTTTATTTTACTGTCTTTTTTCGTTTTATACAGAGGTGCAAGTCCGATGTGAGAGCAGGGAAAGGGTCGAGGCGTAACCCACTTTTTTCTCTTAGTTTTCGGAAGGAGGGGGTCGTCATGCCTCACGCTCCCCTCCTATCTACGTCATTAGAATTTGTCATCAAAATCATGGACGGCTTATTATAGCCTATGATTATGAGAGAGAATTTTCTTTGAACGTTGTCTTTTTCATCTTTAACAAAGCGTACTTCATTATAGTTATTAGATAGTATATATAGAGATGAAAACGTGCGTATTTCTTCATTAGCCCAATGGGATACTCGAACAGACAAGGAACGAAAAGAGACAATGATTTTATGCGTAAAAAGCTCATATATCTGCGCATTAAGAAAAATTATTTTTTAAAAGAAAAAGTCGACTTGTTAACAGTCAACGCTGTTTCAATTGTTCTGCAGTCAATTAAAAAAGATTTCTAACGCATAGAAATGTGTGTTCTGATTGAGGGTATTTACTAGCAGTCTTAACCGGTTTCGTCCTTGCTCATGAGATTCTTCAGATGGCTTAAGACATTTCTATCTGATCTAATTTAATAAGTGACCCTAAAATATCATCCACTTGGGAGTGTGTATAATTATGAGAAAACTATTAGATTGGTACATCGGTTTAGCACGTTTTATTTCCGCTCATGCAATAAGCAACTTTATTTTTCAAAAACACGCTCCATCAATCATCAATATAATCACTCTTGTTCTCGATAACTTCTGTCCATCTGGCCGGCAAAGGAAATCAATCTGATGGAAACGAATAACAATAGATGAATGCGGCGACAATGGTGTGGCGTGTTATGACGTAGTAGATAGATTATTACGCAACGATAACGTTAAGATCAATATCGGTGTGTTTTTGAACTATACAGTACAGAAACAGATATTCCTCAGAGAAACATAAGAAAATGAAAGGACAAATGAATTACACGTATGGCTCCAACAGGAGAGAAAAGTCATACCCATATGTACGTCCGCTAAGAAAAGATGATTGAAGTCGAGGATTTAGAATCCAGCGTTAGTTTTTATGTGAATCATTGTCTATGACCTATGCTGATCCTTGTCCTCCCATCAAGAAACTGAAACTGCACGAGCGTCTGTTTGAATTTGATCGATAGCTATCGATACAAATGGCCTTAAATCTAACTGAAATTCTCTCCGACTGATTTCTGTATAGCCTCTTGGCTTTCTGCTTAGGAAAGAGATTCGTGCATACTTCTATTTGAAGTCGTCAATGAGAGCTAATGAACTGATTGGTGTTTGCGTCTTTATGTGTGAATAGAATCATTTACGACTTGTAAGTGTAAAATTTAGTAATAAATTGATTAAAAAAATGCAGTTCAAATAAACTATAGAATAAGTATGAGACTTATACCAGCATTGTGCAAGCGTTTTGTATTAATGACCACTATATATTAGATTATCTGATAGAATTTTCAATAGATATATCTGAAGAAAAACCAAATGGACGTTTCTGATTCTACGGTTGGATTTAGCTAGGCATAAATAACCTAAATAGTATTCCAAACATGCGAAAAACTAACCTATTCGAATTATAGCTACTTAGAGAGTAGCATAATGTCTCAACAGTTTCCTTTCCAGAATCACATTGACACAAAGTCAGATTTTTTTCCCAAAAGCAGTTAAAAGAATTTCATTTTTTTGTTTCGAGAGCGAATAAAAAGTAGATGAAATTGTGAAGATGTGCGTATCAGCGACTAGCCGTAAGTGTCCGATCGGATAGAGGGGCAGGCGAGTGATTAAGCGGCTTTTTATGAGGCTTGTACGAACGAAAATAAGTATGAATGATATTTTGTTTAGAAGTATCAAGTGATTAGATCTATGCAGCTTTACCAATAGTGCTTGTTTCTTGCTTTTGTTTTTCAACAAATGATATAAAGACAGAATTTGAGAGGATTGTGGAGATGCTCCCAGTAGCATATCTTGTTGGTCACATCAGAAAAATCATGCTAGTTTTATTTTGAAAAATATAGACAACCGTATCTTATTTCACACTATTCATCGTTTTGCTAGAAACTGAGATGTGTTTAAAGGTGGAAGGTTCAAGTTAACCGTTCTTAGGGAGTTACCATTTCCTTTTCACGGTGATCTTTATTTAGAAATGCACGCTAAGTAAAGAGAAAGATAACAATCGTGAAGTCAGTTCGTAAGGTTTTCGACAAAGAAGGATAGATCTCGAGAAGTCAGACCTAATTAAATATTTCTGCCTTTTTGGTAGACAAGCGCTATTTATTTTTTTATTATTTAGCAATAAATTTCTTATGATACCGAATCGAAATTATCATTTTCTTGTAAATTATATGCACGAACAATAATTGAATCTTGTTTATTCATATTTGCATTGTCTAATGGAAATTTTGTTGTTGTATATTTCAGAACTGCTGCTGGAAGAACATTGACAGGAGGAGAAAAAAGTGTTGTTCGAGTCATATTTTTTGTTGCTCATGTTTGAGAAGAACATCTGTCATTAATTTAAATAGATGTATTGTTATTTGTTTCATCAAAAGTCTGAAGTAGTCCCACAGTTTTCAAATCATTTTTCATAAATTGATTATTTCTCAAGGCGTATCTGTGTCGTGCAAAAATTTCATGATACCTTAGAGAGTGTTAACTACAGCTAAGGTAACCTTGTAATAGAATGAAATATGTTTCATTATAATTTGTTTATTTTCATGGAGAAATCAAGGAGGAAACAGAATGAAGTAAATGTTTTTGTTTTGACAAGAGTTTTGGAATCTTTTGTTTTAAATGAGTTCATGAATAGTAGTGAATTTATCTTTTTCTTGATCAGAATAAGCATTGAGAAGAACAGAACCATTTGATTGTGTGAAATTCGCTTTTAATGGAACTGTTCGTGTTTGTCGAACAGTTTCATTGACTAATGAAGATGAAGGAGACAATGGCGGTGGAAGTAAAGGTTGAATTGGTGATGATGGTGTTTTATCCAAATTATTAAGCTCAAAATCAGATATTGAGACAGTAGTGAAAGAATTTCCTTTTGGAAGTAATAGTTCCTTTGTTGATGATGATGATGATGATGTTTGTTTGTTTGATGGTGGATCCGTATGGCAAGGAGTGTTGGATTGACTATCGATCGCTAATGATTGTGAATTGTTAAGATTTTGATTTTGGATATTGGTTTGTTTCTTTGTTATAATTTCATTAGTTTCTTCATGATGATATCCGGAATTAATACTAGCATCATCATCTATAGTATCAGTAAATTCTTGAACCGAACCGACTTGATTGATTGAACTGGTTGGACGATTGAAAAATTTATAATGTGAATTGAAGCTAGAAATAAAATGATCGCTATAAAAAAAATCCGGCTAAAGGTGTATTGAACGGTTGTAGAAAATGATCTAACAGAATAATTTCATACCCTAGCAGTGCAGCTGGTCCACGATACAAGCCATATGCAGTTAAAGCTATAAATGCTAAGCCAAGAGGTAGACCAAGTCCCAATCCTAGTCCTAATAATCCGGAATTATCTTTCGTTGAAATGAGTACTGTAATTAAATGAAAGAAAAAGAATTTTCATATGTAAATGTTGATTTCAATTAAGTAAAATATGCAGACCTATAATAGTTGCAGGCTCTTGAGTTGTAGTTGTCGTTCTAAAACAGTAGAAGTAAATCGGAAAAATATTATAGAAAGAGTCGAGACTTACATAGTTGTTTTGGAAGTGGTTGTAGTCGAGGTTGCTGTTCTATAAAAGTTTATCAAAAACAAACATATTTTTGGAAATGGAAAACAAGGAAAATTACGTCGTTGTTGAGGTAGACGTTGTCGACGTTGTAGAAGTACTTGTTGATGAAGTTGATGTACCTGATGTACTGCTTGAACTGGTCGTCGATGTGCTTGATGTGCTTGTTGAACTAGTTGCAGTGGTCGATGTCGATGTTGTTGCAGTGGTCGATGTCGATGTCGTTGCAGTAGAAGTTGTTGTTGTTCTACAAAGAACAAAATAGTAATAATAAAATCGAACGAACTCGAAAACTTACTTATCAGTTGTGGCAGTACTAATCAAACTGTATCCATCACTAAAAAAAAGAAAAGATTGCAAACGTATAACTAATTAATGAGGTTATACAAGTAACTGCTGGAAGATATATAAGTAGAGAAAAAATGTTATGACTAGTTATAGGATTATTGACAAGTGATTATCTATCTTACTCTTCCTCTCCTCCATAAGTTGAATTTACAATAAATTTTAAACAATAAAAATCTGATTGAATTGAAACACTAAATAATGGAAGAAAATAATATTAATTTTATCAAACGACTCAATATACCTATCAATTGCTACAGCACAATAAATCTGTAAACCAATTTGTTCTACTGTTGGCATCCATATTTCAGTAATAGTCCAAAGATCATCAATTGAATCAAATGTTAAATTAGTTTTAATCACATTTAATAAAGGAGATCGAAAATAATCAACAATTGATACATTGGAACAGTTTGTGCTGATTGTAAAAGTAAATGAGTAGTTTGTTCCAACTTCTAAAGTTAAATTTCTTGATGAATTTAAAGCAATGACTGGTTTGAAATCACATGATGATTCATTAATAATATGAATTAAAAATTGTATAGAAATACTACTTAATGCTGTACTATTTGAATCATTATAAAAATCTTCAACCATCAATGCTATAGCATAATAATCTCCGGAAGATTTTCCTGTACTGTCAAAGACAAGTGTACAATTTTCTTCATAAAGTATACTTCCGGGAATTTCTCCACAAATATCACCACATTCATCAAATATTGAATCATTACTTGCCCAACGACAACTACACTTACATATAGTAAAACTATACGTAATAACGAAAGATTTATCTTACCGTAAAATATCACCATCGGCATCTGCAACAGGAATACTAATAGTACTTATCGTATTAGATAGTACATAAATAGCTAAAATAGATAACAAATCATATTATCATTACACCAGGAACATTAAAATATACGTGAAATAACTGCTGCGACTGGTGCTGTATTAATAAAACCATCATCTCGTATTGTTAAATCAACACAACAACCAAGTGACCATGTTGCATTGTCCAGATACTGATCAAAACCATAAACAGATGAAATAATGCCTGGCCATGTTAAATTTTGATAAGCTACACAAAATTTCGAATCCATTGCAATAGTTTCAATATTTGATATTTGGCTCGAACTTGTATCCATAATTTTGCTATAATCAGTACAATATCCATTCACATCTAATGCTGTATAATTTTCACATGAAGATAAATTAGTTGCGCATTCAAGTGTACCAATGTCACTAGGAATTTTTCGTGTTTGATTTCCAATAAAAGTTTGATCACATTGTGTATTTGTTTGTTGCCATTGATAAGATTGTGTAAACATTATACGAATTAATGAACCAAAATCGGTATTATTTATTGGCCTCCAAGTGACTGTCCCTCCATAAAAATGACTTGAATGAATAGTTGAAAAATGCCAGACAACGATCAGATAGAAAGAGAATTTGTTCATCTCTTATTCTGAATAAAAAACTGAATGAAAAATGAAAAGAAAAAGTTGTATTGTATTTATAATACAGAATCCATAGAAAATTTTCAATTTCGAAATTCGTGTATGTATAACTTGAAATTCATCCAAGATACCGTTAAAAATCGAATTTGCTTTCAAGAACACGTATCATCGTCCTTTTACTTGACACATTACTGAAATGACCTGCCAATTGTGCTCGAAGAACAGAACAATAATTTCGAAGTACAAGTTTCTTTCATTTATTAGTATGCAAAATATAAGAAGCATTAGAAAAGCAATATTTTGATTAGAGACTGATTACAGTTTCCGAAAGAAAAAAAAACAAATCAACGAGAAATATACTCAAAAAAGAATTTAATGATCAAATGAATAATTATAATGCTACACCTAGCAACACCATGTCATTTACTACCACTGGTTGTATAGGACAAGCTCCTGTATTTGCCAAGAATTCAAATCCAATGCTTAATGTACCGTACATTCCACTTTTATCAGCTAGCTTTACTATTGATATGTGGCTTTATATCACTGAATTTTCAAATCTTAACCCTTAAAAGCCGAAACGTCCCTTCCAAGGGACATTGCATTAATGGCTATGGAACGAAGGAATTAAGTCGTATCCACAAGAGCTACTATTTTGTCGAATGAGAACAGTCAGAGTGATNGAGTACAGCAATTTCTGATTGAAAAAAGGGTTTGAAATTATGAAAATCAAATTTCAGAAAGAAGAAACGCACCTAGATCGCTCAACGGTGTTGAGCACCCTTTAGAAGCGTCGTTCCCCATGACTATTCTTGTATTGAATGCAGCAGTTTTGTCTCGTACGAATGTCTTATATATTATAGAGAGAAAAATGTTATCATCATACCTCAATCAAATAATAATTGATCAAATGCCTTAGGCTAGCAAGTTGTTACGCATCCAGTATAAACATAATGTCGTTTTTAATAGAACATTCATTTTTAGGCGAAAAGATCAAATTACTTTGATTAAAATACGTATCACATTCCTTCCAGCAATGGGAACTTACCATTTAAATTCCAGTCGTCTACCGAACGACACTATTAATTTGCTAATAATACAAATGATTGAATGGAGCAAGAAATAGTTTGAGAAAAGATCTGATTGGAGTAACTTTTCAAAAATGTTCTTTCCATCAATGAAAGAAGCGTCGGTGGCGATCGATATTTCGAGAGTAACAATTAGCTACTAACGAAATTTCAACGCAGTTGTTCTGACATAAATTCGGACAGTGAAATGATCTCTAGTATTTGACCGAACTGTATCCTGTCAGAGGAAAAAGTTATCAAGAACGCGTTGATATGCATAACCATGTGCGGTTTTGAACATGTAAAAATTCCGTAGAATCAGATTTGTCTGTCTGGGTAGATGTGAGTCATTTATTCTATCCACAGTTTTTCACACAGAGTTGAATTTTAACAAAAGCAAAGGAAAACGATATAAAATATTTATCTCATTCTTATCAGGTATGAGTAAGAGTTTTTCGTTGGAAAAAGCCAATTTTACATGTCTTAATGTACACCGATAAAGCTATTTTATTTTGACCAGCAAGACGATGGCGTGTGATTGGGAGTGCAGATTTTATGAATCCGCACACATCCTCACCTTTACTGGTATGCATTATAATTAATTGTTTCAATCTTATTGACTCTTTGTCTCTTGGAATTGGAACATCAATCAACTTTACTTCCGCTCTTTTTTATTTTTTACTTCTGTGATTTCTCTTCTCTACATTTAGTTGTTGTGCAATACCATATCAAATTCATTTCATAAGTCTGAAAAGAAAGTTGTAATCGTACCTTCATGGCTGTATACGAAAACAATTTGATCACGCTTGTGTAAAATCTTTTCAGAGTGCACTCACAAACAAATCAGTCAGCATTTGCGTTAGAAAATTCAGCTCTGTCATATGAAGATCATGTTTTAGTCAGGAAAAAACTGTTTTCTTTTGTACAATTGAGTGGCAATAGAGAAACTTGAATTTTCTAATTCTTTCTCACGAAATATTTCTTGTGTCTTATGCAAAACTCCACGCACGTGCTTTCTTTATTTCGTGTGACGGCGTTATTTTCTTGTATGAGGACAAGATCATAGATATTTATTTAACTATAGAATCGAGTTTATATAGTGATCAACTGATCCCTTGACATGACTCTGTGGAAATTCACCAGATGACTGAGATCGAAAAGGATAAATCCATCATTTGAAATGAAGAAGAAAAGAGCAAAAAATTCGCCATATATACATATGTGTGTATGACAGGAAAGGAGAACCATCGTGCACATATGATGTACGTGGGGTAAAATCCTTATGATCACATCTGATAAGATGTAGGTCATAACATTTCATTTTAGATCGAAAAAACCTTGCTTTCTTATGGTAACTTCAATGAACAATCTACCTTCCATGAGCGTGTGGGTGTGGGTGTGTGAGTGGGGTGAAAATTCTTTATGACTGGAACCGATAGAGCGCGTCGTAGTTTGATCTGGAACCAGTGTTAAAATTGCGGTCGGCGGTTGTAAAACGAATTCGCTCAAGAAAATGTCGAATCCTGTCCGAAGGTATCCTACGTTATATACTCATAGATTTATGGAAGAGAACGAAAGGTGATATCAAAGTAGAAAAAATGCACTAAAGTAACGACACATGACATGCTAAAGAATTCGTCACAATAGCAAATGGCCTTTTTATCACTTAAAAGGGAGTTTTTATGTTCGAAGACTCTTCACTGAGGAATTTTTTGGCTAATCGTTTGTACGAAAGTAAAACACATGATTTTAAGGTAAAAAACAACGTTCGTTTTCTATATTTAGATTAATCATATCTTGACTATGGCTTCTGATTCAAATCAACGTTCGATTGAACTTACACAACATTTTACAAATGTTGCGTCAAATTATCGTTCTGATTCGCTATTTCAATCACCATCTTATCAACAATGGTTGCATGAAATTACATTCAATGCATTAGATCTCAAACCTAATCACACTGTCGTAGATCTTGGCTGTGGACCTGGACAAGATTCTTTGTGGTTATCAAATAAAATGAACAAAGAAATAAATCTAATTGCTAGTGATATATCATCCGGTATGATGAAAATCTTAGATGATGAAATACACAAACGAAACTTATCAAGTATTATCAAAACATATTGTATGGACGCAGTGACTTTTAGTCAACAAAAACAACTTCCTCCATTTCACCGTTTACTTTTAAAACAATTTATACATTTATTATCGCATGAAGAAAGATTATTAGCTTTTAGAGGTTTCTATGAACAGTTGGATTCGAATGACAATAAACTGTTAATTATTGGACGCCCTCCAAAAGAAATATTTCCATTCGATAAACGTACACAAGAGATATTTCTATCATCGATACCATCTACAGAAACTTATATACAAGAATTAGAAATGTGTGGATTCGCAAATATCCAATATGATGTATACCGTTACACATCCGATGGTTCAATAACATTAGAGCATTGGATTAATTTTATACAAAATAGATTATGGTCGACCTTTTCTCCTGAGCATATGACCGATGAACAAATTACGGATTGCATTTCCTATCTGAAAGATAAATATAAGAATGAAAAATTTCAATTCCAAGACGAAATGTTAATTTTACATTGCACAGCAAAAAAGTTCATTACACAATAACAGTTCAAAACGGAACAAAACAAATGAAAACAAATATATTTTGACACATCACCAGTAAATATGTATTTCGATTGCAATAATTGAAGTAGTACGAAACTCTTTTGAAGGTTATGTATGAACCTAAAATGCTTTCATTATAAAGTTTACTAGATTGACAGCAGCTTTGGAGTTAATTTTCATTGGATTCAATTCACCATAAAATAATCAAATAAATATAACTAATTAGGGGACGTTTCGACGGCTAGTTCTTCTTTATCAAGATGTGTTGATAAACAAGAGACCAAAAAGAAACAAGAATGAAACGGGTTAATACGTTGTCGCTGTAGTAGAAAAATCAAAGAAACACATGCACTAGAATGAAGTCTGAATTACGGTATTCCATAAGACTAGATATTAACCAGTGACAGTGAATCCATTTTTGATTTGATCTTGACTTTAGGGTTTGCTGGTACTAGGTACTCACGAAAGACTATTAGTAGCACTAAGCTTGTTGTTCAATACAGGTTCCCAGGTCACGGTAGCCCGGTTGGTTTCGGTCTGTTAAGTTCATTTTCTGACGATTTTCTCGCCGCTGAATTCGGCTGGAACCGACTCAGATTTATGATAATTAATGTGGAAAGATTCTTTGACTGACAATTGATAGTTTTTGTGATCTTTAGCTAGGTCATTAAAATTGGCTCACTGAACATGATAATTGCTATCGATCTCATGCTGTTGTACAGCTGATTACATTGGTTTATTCCACATAAGAATTTTCATTTCATGGGATATCTTAGGAAAATAATGAACAACTTTGGTTTTATTTCGATGGGGCGTCTTAGGTTAGGGGTGTGGAATCAGCAATTGAATTGATGGAAATTATGTTAGCTCCATGAATTAGATAGGAAACTGTTCGATATTTATGAAATCTTTTGGTTACATGCTGTGTATATGTAAGATATCTTGGACACGGATTGGCGCACGAGCGTATTGTAATCATTAGAAAAATTTTCACCCATCCTCACCCCTTACTTTAATATGCTTTCATTATGGATATGTACCACACTTTAATGAGCCAATTTATTGTAGATGTTGAATTTTGATCAACTATATTCTTATTGATTAATCTTTGGGTGGTACAATGTATGTTTCGGTTGAACGTTATCTGTTTCTTTTCTATAAACAATTCATATTAAGACATAAAATTCTAACTCATTATATATCTTTAACAATTTTTATCTTCTATCTTCCTTGTTTCACATTCTGTTTTATTTTCTTTTATCTATGTAAACAACATTTTGATTATAATACATATGAATGTGGTTGACCATGTTATGCGACAACGCAACCAACTGGTTTAATCGATCCAATTGTTTTCGATATACTTATTCTTATTAGAGTCATTACAATTAAAAAACGTACTCGACCTGTCCACGTAACGGTCCACCTCCTTGTGGTAATTTACAAAAATGCAAAATTTACGATATGATTTTCTAATTCATAAGATATCAGGAGAATGATCCAATAGATTTTTCTAAGATATATCCGTGGGTACTTTATTATCCTGACGAACTCAGAACTATTGTAATTAATTTTTCGGAAATTAAAGGGTGTCAGAAACATACGCATTTTTGAAAACGTGATTCCATCACGAAAAATGGTGATTCCGTCACGAAACCTTTTTCTAATTGTAGTACTATTTTCTTATATACTTTAACTGGACCTGCGTATGTATGTAAGTAGTCATAGGTACTATAACTTTCATATGTAACAGTTTTCTGTTGCATCTATAGTTTCACTAAATTTTTCGATTTTTGACATACTACTCGAAGCGCATTACCATTTTTGCTGATTCCGTCACGGGCATAGTTTTCAATTAGAAATTTATCAAAGTAGAACGAAATCTAAGGAAACATTGACGGTGTGTAGGGCAAGTCAGCTTATATATATTATGTAAGTAATCAACAATAACAGACTGAAACTTGCTGAGATATTTAGTCAACAAGAGGAAAAAACGTGATTCCGTCACGCTTGGACAGGTCGTACTGCTTCTTCTGCTTCATCGACTAATTTTTGGAAACAAAATCATTATATGATTATACAATTAGTTGCAAATTGTATTCGAATCTAATTATTCGGTCACTCAGATATGCTTCAGCAACAATTTGTTTTTATTCATTCAATGCAACGTGTATTCCTTGTCTCGGTACAAAATTCTTTGTTATCATAGGTTTACTACATGAAGTAAGACAGAAAATGACGAATAGTATTATGTTTATGCGAAGAAACAAACCAGCAAAATACATCCACGGAATTGGTATCGATGAGAACTTAAAATGTGGGATATTAATTACGACTTTTTTCTCGAGAAAAATGGACAGTTTCGTTCGTTTATTTGTTATTTTTTTAGTCCACACTCCACGGAAGTATGATGCATTGAGCGAAAGAAATGAAAAAAAATCGCATGATTTCGTAATGCGTAGATGTATTTATCATACCGATGACTCAATGTTTCCATTTTTAGAAAAAGGAATCAGAAATCCATGATAGAGAATATGTCCTTTTTCCTATTAATAACAAAAGAGCAGAGAACTTATAACTAACAACGATTCTTTCGTAGTTTTTTTTTTATTTGTCGCAATAACTAACTGTATAAAATGATTGATTTTGCAATTCATTTCACGCCGATTGTTTTTTTTTCACACGATTTTCAATGCCGAAAAAGTAAGTCGAATTTTGAACTTATTTTTTCACCTAAAACTATATATGACTTTATTAGTCCAGTAACTATACAACCAAACGATCCGAATCTTTTTCTAAATACGTTTTCTACGCTCAATGGTGAAAATGTCATTCGATCGTATCAATGTAGTGAAGGATGTTCACCAATTTGTGGGCCAAAATCATCTATTGTGTTCACTGATAAACGAATAATCGCCAGACATCAAGAACCCGATGGTTGTGGTTGCTGTTCGAACATTTCTCATGTCGATACCGCTATCTTCATGCGTGATATCGAAGTGATGAAAGAAACAGATCAGTCAACGGGTACACGTTTGGCTGTAATGATTATGGTATTGACTTGTACATGGCCGATACTCCTCTGTAAAGTATGTTGTGGGGATCATCCGAAGGTCTTGGAAATCAAAGGTGCATTCGGCTCGGAGTTTCTTAAATTCAAACGGGAGGAATTCAAACACGCAGCCGATGAATTATCGTCCATAGTTCTGCCAATGAAGAACTGATTACATATTTTTTTCGAACTTTGAACGGTAAATTATCATATTTCCTATTGTCATAAATAGACAAGAGTTTATCTTTCTTATATTCAAGAATACCAATTAATTTCTCAGATAAAAAAGAGACAATAATGAAATACACGTCAAGTAAAAGAAAATTTGGATTTGTTTGATGAGAGCAAGTTATTTGGAATCTATTGTTTCCAATCTGATCTATCAAATACAAAAGAAGCAATTGTTCAAATTGAAACCAATCGAAGTCGAAGAAGGAAAGGAGTTAATAACTGAAACGCTTAAAGCTCTTTAAAAGATAAACGACATTCATTAATAGTCAACTGAATTGAATGTGGGTACACTACACAATATAGAACCAGAGGTGTAGATTCTCAAGGACATGACTACTCACCTTCTCCGTGTGCTTGATCAATTAAAGTTTTTTGTTTCTCTATCCGTTAACGTGCCTTTGAACGCGATGTAGTCTTTTGAAATCTTTAGACACATTTACCAATGTCGAATTATTTTGAGTTTTGTACATTCAGACTACAATCTTTGTAATGTCAGTTGTCTTGCCGATAGAAATGTTTCATTTATACAAGAATCGTGTTAACGATTAATAAAACGAATGAAATACTAGTAATACTCATTAGAAGTGTCTCAGTCGAACTATCGGTAAAATTAGTTCGAGTCAACGAACAAAGATTGATCGGTTGATGAATACGGAACCCGAAAAGACAGTTTATCATGTACTTTTCATAGCTCCAATTTTGAAAATGAATGTTGATGAAACGATCTTAGATGGTGAAATAAGATCAACTCAGTATTTCAAACCGGAATCCTTGCTTCTTACACTGTAGTTGGGTTTAAAACAAATCTGTGAGCAACGTAAATATTAAAGAAATTCTCATTGATACTTCTAAAATTCAGTTTTAGTGTCCAATAAAAGCACGCGTTATTGCCTCAACAAAAAACATCGAAAAGTTCCAACTAGGTTCTTCTGATTTATCATTGTTTTCTTTTCGACATGTATATTGTTCACATTTCTGTATCACTTATTCATCATCACACCCTCAAAGCCCTCAGAATTTCCGTGTGTTGGTTTTTTTTTCGATTTCAACAATGCAAGTTACAATCATTAATAAAAAAGAAGATCTAAACCAAATGCTGCCAGATACATAACAAATATAATAGCAATGGACCATTCGATCGATGCTGCAACAGATTTTAATGTCGATACATTGTTAGGTCCTTTGATGCTACTCATGACTGCGAAAGTAATGGCCAATGGAATAACCAGACCTATAAATGCAACACGAAGATACACCGTAAAATTCCATTGATACCGAGAGAATCGATGGAAAACTGTAAATATAGCAGAAAGTATAGTAAACACGATAAATAGACCAGTAAACGTATAGTGAGCACCGCTATGGTTGGACGAGTCAAAGATGGATAGAAGAATCAAGGATGCGCCTCCAATTAAACTGCAAATGATGGATATAATTGACATGCTTCGTTTAAATCGTCGTCGATTCTCCATATCAAAACAAAGTTTCGTGAATAGAAGTGTCAGAAAGAAGAATGTTCCCGTAATGCTTGTGCCTATAATAAATGCAGTTTTGTGTACAGCTCCGACATTGGATATGTATACCACTTCACCATCGTCTGGTTCATATCGAACGAAATCATCTCGTGCCCATAAACCAAACAGAGCTGCTATGGTCGCGAGCCATGCCAGAGAAGCGATGAGAGATGCCAATATACCAAGAATTCTGGTTAATAGATGTTGCCATGATGGAGAGACAGCAGATAACATTAGTTAATGTGATAATATGTTTTGCTTGTGAGTGCGTATGGAAGACAGTGCATTCGTCATTAATATCTTATTACCTCTCCTTTTTGCTATCATCACATATTATTACTCACCTTTCAACGTGTTCTCATAGTGTAAACATACGCATTCTCTCTTTTCATTCTCGAAAAATACCTGTGTGTGCAAGTTATGAGAGAGGGAGAGAGAGAGAGAAACCGAGGAAGACAAACGTACTTTTAGAACACACGTACTGTGGTTTAGCGGGTAACATAGTACGTTGAGAACAAAATTATTAATTTTTATTGAGATAAAAACAGATTTTAATCTTCTTTGCCACGGCATTCACGTAGAAATAAAAAATATAATTGCAACGAGTGGAGGATTTTTAGCATTTCAAATCCTTTTCTCATTCAATGCTCTACCACTTCTATTACTATCCACCTGGTAAAAACAACCATGTTGTTGTTATTGTTATTGGTTTCATTATATTCCGCTGTGCTTAGAGTATGTTACATAAGCATGTATATTGAGAAAAAAACTTCGTTTGTAAGTGAAGAACTCACCGATGACATCGTTGTAGAGGTTGTTCAATAACCACATTCGTCAACAGTCGCTTAATTACAATCTCAAGTCTAAAACAGAAAGAAAGAAGAAACAAATAGAATCAAATGGAGAATGTCATTTGGAATAAATACTTGAAAGAAATATTTTTGACGGCTTTTAACTAAATAAAAAAATTTTCTCGAACAACATATTGAAATGCCATTATACTATAATTCTGTCATCCGTATATTTTCATCAAAACTCCAACAGTCAAGTACAAATGCTTTGCTCTCGAAAAGAATATAACAGTCAGTTACGATAGGAATGTCCTCACAATCTTCGACAACAGATTACATTTTATTATTGAAACAAACGTCAAAATATGTATATGCATATGGTGGTCCAATACTGATGTTTGTCGGCGGTGTGAGTTACGTAATTTGTTTAATTGTATTTGCAAAAAAGATCTACGAAAAAATCCATGTTCAACTTATTTTATTGCATATAATATTATTAATCTGGCATTAGTATGCTTATCAATATCCACTGTATCATTTAGCAGCTGGGTATGGTATTGCTCCGAGTACCTACAATTTAATGTCATTTAAGTGTTCTTTTCTAAATCAATTTATCACGTTTCTTTTGGTCATTGAAAACAAGATATATCATTCTATCCGACACATTTACACGAACATCATTTAAATGAACCGAAATTTTTTATTTATTCCACAGAAAACAACTGCCGCAATAAATCAAACTCTTCAAACTAAAATAGCTACGCCACTCAAGATTGATCTCTATTCATTTCTATAGATAATTGTTATCGAGCTTCACCAGCAATTGATCAATCTACTTTTAAGGTCAATCAAGTCATTTCACTGATCTTTATACTAAGCAGATATTGAGTATATCTCAATTTTTACGAATGTAGTCTATTTATCGTAGACATCAACAAAGCAACACGAGCTCACATTGATGTATCATCCAAAAAAGTTCAGCTAGACACACATTCATTATCATCAAATTCCTCGTTCATTATACTACAAATTTTTCTTCGACTTTGAAAAGTAAAGTTTATATGAAGAGAATGTTTTCATCCATATTACTGATTATATTGGTTACTAATATAATGATTATTTTAGCAAATGTCACAGCAACGAACGTTATTATTGAAACACAAAAAGGAATAGCTTTGCATAACATCGGTGTATTATGAGCAACTTGAGAAATCTATCGTCCATATACTTATACCTTTCAATGACTTATGTCTTACTTCACCAACTTTAGATGTCTGTGAGTATGTTCAATCAAATGGTCCTGGCATCTTAAAAATTGGAACTGTTCTGCCATATTCAAAACCTGTATCTTCAACATAGGGTAAGAGTAATATTTCCCTTATAACGCCAGTCATGAAGTTGATAAAATTGTTCAAAAAGCAAAATCTATTTTATACTTTAAGAATGACAAGTTTTACCTACCTAGTTAGATAAAAAGAAATATCAGTCGACACTTCCATCATCTCCACCAATGACAACCGTCAACCAACAATTTATCGCTTGAATAATGTTGCAACACTAGTTCTTGAACAAATGTTCAATAATAAAATAGGATTCGACTTTTTAAATGATGAACAAATAGCAGAACTTTTACCGTTAGTCGATTTAGCACATAAGATTAAGCTCGATGTTACAAATACTGACGAGAGCAAACAGTATTTTATTAATATGATTTTTGGACAAACCGTCTACGCGTTGAAATCATGTTCTACAAAAATTAATCATAATGTTCATAACGGATCGCAATGTCTTGTTGTCTCGACTATTTTTCGTGAAATTTCTAATGATAGCTCATCTATCTATCAGGTTTATCATTTAACACCCTCACCCACCCCACTAACGACAACAAAGTCCTCTAGTCGAACTCAGCAAGAGAAATTATACTGGTACACACATTCATATCAGTCTAAAGCAGATCATTGACATAACTGTCGTGCATTGAACTTCGAAATAACCTTTCTTTTCCCCGTTGATTCATTGATCAAGTGAATAAACGAACCGATTCAACTTTTCAAATAATTTATTAATTTAGAAAAACAAAAAAGCTATTTAGAGAAAAAAAAACTAACTCTTTCACTCTCGCTGTTGTCCAAAGCCCATTTTAATGTCAAATGTTCGTTCTAAAAAAAGTTATCATTTCAATATTCGTGTATCAGTAACAAAATCTTACTTTTTGCCTCCTTTTGACAACGATATTCCTCCATTGACTTTGGAGTAAACTAAGCTCTCTAAAGAACAAACTCGAATTTAAAAAATATTAAAAAATAGAAACAAACATACTTAACAACTACAGCCATTTCGTATGCATTTAACTCCATACCAACACGAAGAAACAAATGCACCGGAACAGAACACACTCACCACCACCATTAACACCCGCTCTCCTACATGGTGATCACCAGCTATCTTGACACCATTACCTGCATAACCAACCATCACAACACTAGTATCTACCCCAGATACGTATATTCACAATTGTCACCGCCTCGAACTCCTGGAATGACTGAAATTCCACAGGCTAAAAAGAGAACACTCTTGTTTCCTAAAAGAAACATACAGACACTCACTTGTCTAAAACACCCACAACCACCACCACATAAATCAAAACGGCAACACCGAACTTCAGCATATTGAAAGCGTAAGAGATTTATTTTCGAAGAATGTGACAAATAATCACTCACATTGCAATTTATATCTTCGTTCCGTCACCAATGCTCATTAATCTATCGCTCGCTCACAACAAAGCCATTTATTCCATGAAAGTCGCTATTCAACAATTACATCCCATCGCTAATAAACGATCAATATCACACAAGCAGAACACAACCGCGTATACATAATGAAACCAACCATCAAACGAAACTCTACTACCTCAACGCACGAGTCTCATTTTATGCCGTTTCTATGTTGACAAAACCGCACATTTTCAACAGAAAAAACCTTCAAATGTGAATTTTAACAATGAAAAAGAGTTTTATTTTAATGGAAAACACTTCTTCTCCGTCGGTATTAAATGATATTTCGCACCGTTTTTACGAATCAAAATATGCACTTTCTCATGCGTCAGACGTAATATTTTACTAATTTTGTCTGTTTTCAATTTTGCATCGATTAGAACAGGTGCGGAGGACGGTAAAACGTTTGCTTAAAAATATCTAACGAGTTCTTTGTCTCGTGTGAGTAGATTTCGTGTCAACAGATGAACTCTGGTAGCAATGTGATATTTGTTGGTTGAATGTCATCCAATGATAGTTGTGATGCATAGTTTTCGAGAGCGGTGATTTGCTTTTCTGACGAAGAGGTTTCATTTGTGAGTCTGCATACATAATGGTGGTAGAAATATGCGTTGTTTAAAGTAAGTATATTGTGGTTTTTGTTATGATTCTTTATGGAATGGTGTTTGGGATTAAGTGGTATTTGCAGTTAGCTTGTGATGGTTAATGAAAAATATTTGTGCCACTAAGGAAGCCATAGTCTAATCTCTGACCTCCATTATGGTGTTTTCCTTGTTTATGACTCTTGATTAGTCTATTTTGAAAGCGATCGAATTGAGTTGTGAATGGTGCTAGTTTCATATCGATCATGATCGTCAAGAACCTCGTCTGGTAGAAAAGAAATTCAATAACGTGGAAAGAATAAAGACAGAGTCATCGGCTAGCAGAGGCTAGAATCACTTGGAAATTTTTGATGATATATTTAAATCTGCAGAAGAATTTATGTGAATTGCTGAGGAGAACTAAACATTTAATTGATATGCATTCTTCATTCAGATGACTTGGAATAGTTTTTAAAAAATTTGACGAAGCTCGTTCTATGGAAACTAGTGGATTCTAATTTGATTACTTGATCTCTTTTTCAATATAATTTACGTTCTACTAAATATTTCTTTTTCATATGTTAGTTTGCATAAAATGTGACAATTGAAAAAATTCACTACAAAAACTCAAATCAAGGGTTCTTTTCATTTTCTTAAAATTCATTATGAAAATGTTTTGTCGTCGACAGAAAACCATTGCTATTTTTACAATTTCACAAACATTTGTTTACTGAGGCTAAGCAATTTTCATGATTGTAATTGAAAGAAGTTTTTTCTAATCAAGTCCTTTTGTCTCGTATGTGTTTCAACATGTTTGACGTCAACCATTCATGTAGGGAAATTATACGATCGACACGAAGAGCTGGATTCGTAGCAGTGCTTCATAAAAATATAGGAATGCAAGGGATTTTTCGTGAAACTTTTCATACGACTTTTATCGCGTATATAGGGCCTATTTAAAAGCATCTTTTAGCCAGAAAAGTTTCGAAATTTTGATTTCTTTTTCATGAATTTATGACTCTCAAGTTTTCTCCTCAAACTCTTATAGAAAGCTAAAACTGGTAACCAAAAAAATCCATACCTATATCAGGGAATTTTCGTCGTTTTTTAAATATAGCAAATCTAGGACGACTACAAAGTCTGTGACGAGAGAAAGAAAGATTACGATAGTACGAATTCAAACAAAATTGGAGAAAAATTTTCTTTCTGAAAATATTTTGTTGAAGCTTGTCATGAGCGGAGAGTTCAAGCTTTTTTCGCCGTTTTCCTCACAAAAGCCGAAACAGTAATAGTTTCTGATATAACGAAACCTTGTGAAGATGCTTTAATTTCGATATTTCTCGTTTAACGTAAAAGGACGTCTCTCAATCGTTTTTAACAAAGATCAAGGTTTTACACTACGATCTAGTTTCGTCATTGTGAAAAATAATTGGACACTACGATATAATAAAGAGATCCGAGTTGAAAAAAATCTCCCGAACTTTCTTTGACACATTCATAAAATACAATGAACATTTGATTATTTCTTCTATTACAAATTTGATATGTTATTAACTATCTGACTCAACATGGAGCTCTTTTTCTTTTCAGCAACATCATGAAGTGCATTTCAATATGTTGATTAGAACAATTTAGTGTCGTATTTTTCGCTTGATCTTTCATCCACCAACTGTTGTTTTTCTCCAAACTTTCTCTATCATTATAATGGAAAAAAGAAAAAGAGATTCGAATTCATTCAAAATCTTTAATTCTTCTCTTATCATAATGAAGCAGCTTCTTGACGAAAAGTTCATCAAGATATTGATAAAAATAACCAGTGATCGCTTCGATAAATAAAGCAGAACAATCTATGAACGTTTGCTCTGTAATTCGATAAAGACGATTGTTTCAGGTTCAGAACTACATATTCGCAAAGAAATATCTGATTGAGACCGAAGTCTGACAGACCTGTACTTGTTTAAAATGGTAACGAAATCGAAAATGCAACTGAGTATTTTGTCGACATATCTTTCATTTTAGGGAGGAACAATTTGGACCGAGAGAACAAAAAATATCTGCCCGCTCTGGGGTCTCAACGAAGAAAATATAGAAAAAAAAGAGAAAGAACGAGAGAGCGAATGAAAGGAAATAGTATCCTGTAGAATATTTTCTTTTCCATTTCAACAACTTACATTTTGATGATGAGTTTAAGAAAGATTTCTGTATTATTTTTCTTCACATTTCTTATACAAACAATGTCGAGCGATATTCGGTCAATTCAAATGCTAATAATCAATAATAAAGTATTTCAATGTACTCAATCAACTTGTTTACCATTTTATAACTTGATAACATCAGACATTCGTCGTTGTCAAATCAATTGTTTAAATCGAAATGAATGTACGGCAGTTACTTTTCATCAATCAACTTTACAATGTCAATTATTTGCTACTTCAATCAATCAAAATACGAGCATGTCAGTTGAAATAAATGCTGTGACAATGATCACAATTTTCAGATCACGATATTCATATGGTTCGTGTGAAATAGAATTCATGGTAGTGAACTTTTTTCGCAAAATTACCTTGTTTAAACAGCAAAAGATTTTTGAAAATACAAAGAGAATAAGTTAATTTTGAATATGATATAATTTATATAATTTTTGTGTTTCATATAGCGGTATGGGCAACCGAGATGGTACCCCAGAAATATTAGGCATTCCATTAACTCCATTTACTGATAAGAAAAGCATGAAATATTCATAAGATATAACACATGTATGGTACTAATGACTTGGGGATGTAAGCCTTAAACAGTGCTAAGTCATTAGTACCATACATGTGTTATATCGGATGAATATTTTATGCTTTTCTTATCGGTAAATGGAGTTAATCGAATGCCTAATATTTCTGGGGTACCAACTCGTTTGTCCACACTCATAGATTTTATTACTTTCGAAATAGATCTGACGACGATTTTAGCAGCATCATCAACTTCATCGTCAACATCGTCATCGCCAACAACCTCATCATCAACAGAAGCACCGCGTGGTTAGTAATGTAATAAAACAATTACAGTTTTTTTAGCATAATTTCCCAATCGATTCTTACGATCATAATTTATTTTCGTTGAGAAAGTGATAAAAACTAGTAACGCTCGTCGAGGGAGACTCGCTTTACTCTTGACTGAAGAATAAAAAAAATATATACTAGCTATTTCAACTGGGACAAATCAATGGATTCCTTTCGGCACAATTTCTCGCCAGAGATCTTTTCCGCTTGTGATTCTTCTTATCCGCAAACCTTTGAAACATCAAGAGTCTTGACTCAAGAATCCTATTCGTTATACTCATGAGAGGTCTTACAGGCTAACGTCTGATCGTTACAATCCATAATTTCTTCTCCAGTATACTCAATATATATTCAATTGCATTTTTACCTGAGAAGAACAAATTTACCGACAATGAATCTAGTTTCCAGACTTACTGCTTGATTGAGAGATCATGGAAAGCGCAGAAGTTTTGCATTTAATCTTTGCACATTGATTCCCAGACTGCAATCTTGATCATAATTCCTTGAGTATCAATCATTCAAGTAGTACCGTTGCATCCCACCCCTACTCAATCCATTCCTTTTCGTATCACCCTCTTTGCAGACAGGGAAAGGATTTTTCTTTCATCTCTGGCCCTATGATTCAGTGTAGAGGCCAGGCGAGAATTTTCCGTTTAGGGGAGCTCAGATCATTCAAGCGCGCCCTTGTCGCCCCCACTGATTCAGTGTTCTTTTGACCTAATCCCCTTCAAGCAATCTCGAGCCTCGAAATCCCTCACAAACTATATTTTATGCAGTTTGGAGCATTTTCAAAAAATGCGTTTTTTGATCTTTGATTCTGACACAAACAGACAGAGAAACTTTTTTTTTCATATGACTCTCCTCTGAGCCGAGAGAACTAGCGACAAAAACGATGCAACTGATATATTAGTTTCCCGACTAAAGTCACAAAATCAGAGTTCATCGGCTATTTTAATTTCGAATATAAATATGAGAAATATTTATTGATCTGTGCCAAGTAATCCTCTGTAAAACTGATTTTCTATATCATTGGAATTTTGATGAAAGAAAATGCCTTTTTTGTATTTAAAAAATACGAGCTTTCAAAGCAGTTGTTTACTTCACCTTAAGTGTATTTTAATATTAAAAAGGTGATAGGAAAATATCTAGAACTTGTAGAAGAATAATTTTTATCAAGATGTTTAGATTGTCCGCGTGACTAAGGATATAATCAGGCGAAATGAGAGTGTGCGTGGACATATTTATCAAAATTGTACCGTCGTCTTCGCCCACTAACACAAATAGATTGTTTTCTTGCTAAAAAATATTTCTTTCGAATTTTACTGAAATCATTTTTTCCAGTATGGATGCAAACTAAATCTCTCAATGCCGCACGAGTTAGTCATACAGCATCAATATTACCTAATGGAAAGGTTTTAGTTATCGGAGGATATGGTGCTACTTATCTCAATAGTGGTGAACTATATGATCCATTAACAGACAACTGGACAAAAACAGGAAATATGAGTGTTGCACGACAATATCATACAGCAACACTTCTATCAAATAGAACAGTTTTAGTTAGTGGGGGATACGATGGTAGTGTTTCTCTCAACTATGCTGAATTATATGATTTGTCAACAGGCAACTGGACAAAAACAGGAAATATGAATTTTGCACGACAGTATCATACAGCAACAGTTTTATCAAATGGAAAAGTTTTAGTTAGTGGGGGAAATAATGGCAGTGTTTATCTAAACTATGCTGAATTATATGATCCATTAACAGGCAACTGGACAAAAACAGGAAATATGAATGTTGCACGAAAATATCATACAGCAACACTTCTATCAAATGGAAAAGTTTTAGTTAGTGGGGGAAATAATGGCAGTGTTTATCTAAACTATGCTGAATTATATGATTTGTCAACAAACAACTGGACACAAACAGGAAATATGAATGTTGCACGACATGGTCATGCAGCAACAGTTTTATCAAATGGAAAAGTTTTAGTTAGTGGCGGATACAATGGTGATTTTACGAGCAGCGCTGAATTGTATGATTCATCGAAAGATAATTGGACAACAACGAGTAATATGAGTTTTGGACGAACTGACCATAGAGCAACAATTTTACCGAATGGAAATGTTTTAGCTACTGGTGGGTGGAACGGTTCTAGCACGACCAGTTGTGAAATATATGGATAATTTGGCAAGAAAAAAGAGCATTTTTAAAAATAGAAATCCAATGTAAAAGACTGAGAAAAAAAGAAGTTTTCAATAAACTCAGAATGAACCTGTTAACTTCAATTTAATCTGTCTTCTTTAGTTTAATCTACATATGAAATTCCTAAAATATCTTTAAAAACATATTTTAATTTAAGAAATGAAAAATTTTCTGGTTGTCGAGTAAGGGTCGATCGGAGGGTAATCGGGGTCGAGCATCTCGAATCCGATGTTAGTTTTCAAAAATACTAACTAATTAATTAGTTAATTAGCCAATGATTAGTTCTTATATTGTCAAATAAGGGTTGACCGAATGGTAATCTGTTGTTAGTTTTGCAATAAAAAATTCTATTCTGTTTTTTAGACAAAGGTCCATTTTTTGCAAGGAAGTTTTTTTAACCGATACTGTTTGAAGCAGCAATATGTAGAACTGAAAAGAAATAGCTAACTAACATCGAATTGTTGGATATTCATACACATCAGCACATTGATAACATCACGATTATACAAACAGTTATATTACGCAAACATTATCTGATGCTAACCACTCAAAGTAGTACCTCCTCTAACAAATGTTGTTTTGAACAGTCACAACGGCACAAAGTTCGACGTTAACGGCTAGTGGTGAGTGGGCGACCGGAGGCAGGCCGACGAATAACTAGGCGTTTATTTGAATGGCTTAGAGGAGATAAAATAAGTGAAAATAAACTGATTTTTTTATTCAAAGTAGTCTAAAGAGAGTCGATGAATAAATTTTTATAAACGGTATTCGTTTTGTTTACGTCTTTGGCCAAATGAATTGAAAGTAATCTAACATGAATGAAGCAGCAAATGAAAGAATGAGCATAAAAGTGACTTCAGTTCGAAACCAATTAGATTGAGATCTAAGTGAGAGCGTTTATCTACTAGTTTTCTGATACTTTCAGAAAAGGGTCAGCGAATCCAACGGATGAGCGTTACTTGTTCTAAATGAAAATTTTAAAGGATTCATGTAGAATGAAATATGTCAAAAAGAACTTCAAACATGTACACACGTTCGAGTACTTTCATTAGTTATTCAGACATTGTGGATGATGAAATCTACAAAAGAAAAACAATATTACTTATCATAAATTGATTATTTCTCAAGGCGTATCTGTCGTGCAAAGATTTTATGATATCTTAGAGAGTGTTAACTAGCTAAGGTAACCTTGTAATAGAATGAAATATGTTTCATTATAATTTGTTTATTTTCATAGAGCAATCAAGGAGGAAAAAAAGTGAAGTAAATGTTTTTGTTTTGACAAGAGTTTTGGAATTTTTTGTTTTAAATGAGTTCATGAATAGTAGTGAATTTGTCTTTTTCTTGATCAGAATAAGCATTGAGAAGAACAGAGCCATTTGATTGTGTGAAATTCGCTTTCAATGGAACTGTTTGCGTTTGTCGAACAGTTTCATTGACTAATGAAGATGGAGAAGATAATGGCGGTGGAAGTAAAGGCTGAATTGGTGATGATGATGGTGGCGTTTTATCCAAATTATTAAGCTCAAAATCAGATATTGAGACAGTAGCGAAAGAGTTTCCTTTTGGAAGTAATAGTTCCTTTGTTGATAATGATGTTTGTTTGTTTGATGGTGGATTCGTATGACTAGGAGTGTTGGTTTGACTGTCGATCGGTGATGATTGTGAATTGTTAAGATTTTGATTTTGAATATTGATCTGTTTCTTTCTTATAATTTCATTAGTTTCTTCATGATGATATCCGGAATTAATAGTATCTGTAAATTCTTGAACCGAACCGACTTGATTAATTGAACTGGTTGGGCGATTGAAAAATTTATAATGCGAATTGAACCTAGAAATAAAATGATCGCTATAAAAAAAGTCCGGCTAAAGGTGTATCGAACGGTTGTAGAAAACGATCTAACAGAATAATTTCATACCCTAGCAGTGCAGCTGGTCCACGATACAAACCATATACAGTTAAAGCTATAAATGCTAAGCCAAGAGGTAAACCAAGTCCCAATCCTAGTCCTAATAATCCGGAGTTATCTTTCGTTGAAATGAGTACTGTAATTAAATGAAAGAAAAAGAATTTTCATATATAAATGTTAATTTCAATTAAGTAAAATATGCAGACCTATAATAGTTGCAGGCTCTTGAGTTGTAGTTGTTGTTCTAAAACAGTAGAAGTAAATCGGACAGATATTATAGAAAGAGTCGAGACTTACATAGTTGTTTCTGAAGTGGTTGTAGTCGAGGTTGCTGTTCTATAAAAGTTTATCAAAAACAAACATCTTTTCGGAAATGGAAAACAAGGAAAATTACGTCGTTGTTGAGGTAGACGTTGTCGACGTTGTAGAAGTACTTGTTGATGAAGTTGATGTACCTGACGTACTGCTTGAACTGGTTGTCGATGTGCTTGATGTGCTTGTTGAAGTAGTTGCAGTGGTCGATGTGCTTGATGTGCTTGTTGAAGTAGTTGCAGTGGTCGATGTGCTTGATGTGCTTGTTGAAGTAGTTGCAGTGGTCGATGTGCTTGATGTGCTTGTTGAACTAGTTGCAGTGGTCGATGTGCTTGATGTGCTTGTTGAACTAGTTGCAGTGGTCGATGTCGATGTTGTTGCAGTAGAAGTTGTTGCTGTTCTACAAAGAACAAAATAGTAATAATAAAATCGAACGAACTCGAAAACTTAACAGGTGGCCCATAAAGAATAACCCTCTCAGTATTTTTCAAATATCTCTCTCAAATTTTGACATTCATACTTGAACTTTTCTCCAAGAGAGAGCGCGTGAAATTCTCTACAAAATCTTATGAAAAGACATCTTCCAACGGGTAACTATGAAATTATATCAGATCAAAACAACAACGCTTTAACATGACTCACTTTCAAATGCGCATTTTTACAAAACTAATGATTTCATTTCTTCTAGTGAAACATACGAGACCCTACTCTAATGCAAGTTTTCTGTGTTTTCAGATGTACTCTTTCTAACAGATCTGAAGAGAAGATATTTGGACACGATTGTGAGGTTCCAGTAGCCTATCTTCTTCGAAAACGACTTAGAATCATTGGTAGTTCTTGTTACGCATCTAAATCATTGCAGAAGAAACGCTTTGCAACATTCTATTTGTATTGAAATGATAGAAACAACATTTTCCCTCGACTGCATAATGAATTTGAATATGTAATAATTTTCCATCTAACACAAAATAATTAAAACTACGATGGACTTTAACGAAAGCTTCTGGGAACACGAATAAAGAAGAACAAAGAAAAGATTTTCCAGTAAAATTTACATTATGCAAAAAAAAAATGTTCGTTTAAGTAATAGATCTTTTCATGGTCTACAAGATGGCCTATTCAATCTCTTTATATGTGGTCAAAATAGTGGCGCAAAATCGTTAATATGAGAAGCAGCGCTTTGAAAGCAGGTCACTTTAGAGCGTTGTGGTGTCGTTCTGATATAATTTCATAGTTACCCGTTGGAAGATGTCTTTTCATAAGATTTTGTAGAGAATTTCATGCGCTCTCTCTCGGGGAAAAGTTCAAGTATGAATGTCAAAATTTGAGAGAGATATTTGAAAAATACTGAGAGGGTTACTCTTTATGGGCCACCCGTTACTTATCAGTTGTGGCAGTACTAATCAAACCGTATCCACCACTAAAAAGAGAAAAGATTGCAAATGTATAACTAATTAATGAGGTTATACAAGTAACTGCTGGAAGGTATATAAGTAGAAACAAAATGTTATGACTAGTTATGGGATTATTGACAAGTGATTATCTATCTTACTCTTCGTCTCCTCCATAAGTTGAATTTACAATAAATGTTAAACAATAGAAATCTGATTGAATTGAAACACTAAATAAAGGAAGAAAATAATATTAATTTTATCAAACAACTCAATATACCTATCAATTGCTACAGCACAATAAATCTGTAAACCAATTTGTTCTACTGTTGGCATCCATATTTCAGTAATAGTCCAAACGTCATCAATTGAATCAAATGTTAAATTACTTTTAATCACATTTAATAAAGGAGATCGAAAATAATCAACAATCGATACATTGGAACAGTTTGTGCTGATTGTAAAAGTAAATGAGTAGTTTGTTCCAACTTCTAAAGTTGAATTTATTGATGAATTTAAAGCAATGATTGGTTTGAAATCACATGATGATTCATTAATAATATGAATTAAAAATTGTATAGAAATACTACTTAATGCTGTACTATTTGAATCATTATAAAAATCTTCAACCATCAATGCTATAGCATAATAATCTCCGGAAGATTTTCCTGTACTGTCAAAGACAAGTGTACAATTTTCTTCATAAAGTATACTTCCGGGAATTTCTCCACAAATATCACCACATTCATCAAATATTGAATCATTACTTGCCCAACGACAACTATACTTACATATAGTAAAACTATACGTAATAACAAAAGATTTATCTTACCGTAAAATATCACCATCGGCATCTGCAACAGGAATACTAATAGTACTTATCGTATTAGATAGTACATAAATAGCTAAAATAAATAACAAATCATATTATAATTACACCAGGAACATTAAAATATACGTGAAACAACTGCTGCGACTGGTGCTGTATTAATAAAACCATCATCTCGTATTGTTAAATCAACACAACAACCAAGTGACCATGTTGCATTATCCAGATACTGATCAACACCATAAACAGATGAAATAATGCCTGGCCATGTTAAATTTTGATAGGCTACACAAAATTTCAAATCCAATGCAATAGTTTCAATATTTGATATTTGACTCGAACTTGTATCCATAATTTTGCTATAATCAGTACAATATCCATTCACATCTAATGCTGTATAATTTTCACATGAAGATAAATTAGTTGCACATTCAAGTGTACCAATGTCACTAGGAATTTTTCGTGTTTGATTTCCAATAAAAGTTTGATCACATTGTGTATTTGTTTGCTGCCATTGATAAGATTGTGTGAACATTATACGAATCATTGAGCCAAAGTCAGTATTATTTATTGGTCTCCAAGTGACTGTTCCTCCATAAAAATGACTTGAATGAATAGTTGAAAAATACCAGACAACGATCAGATAGAAAGAGAATTTGTTCATTTCTTATTCTGATTAAAAAAAATGAATGAAAAATGAAACGAAAAAGTTGTATTGTATTTATAATACAGAATCCATAGGAAATTTTCAATTTGTTTTCATTTTTTATTTTCAATTTCGAAATTCGTGTGTGTATAACTTGACATTCATCCAAGATACCTTTAAAAAATCGAACTTATTTTCAAGAACACGTATCATCGCTTTTTTTCCTTAACATATTACTGGAATGATCTTCCAATTGTGCTCGAAGAAGAGAACAAAAATTTCAAAGTACAAGTTTCTTTCATTTATTAGTATGCAAAATATAAGAAGCATTAGAAAAACAATATTTTGATTAGAGACTGATTATAGTTTCCGAAAGAAAAAAACAAATCAACGAGAAATATACTCAAAAAGAATTTAATAATCTAACGTTCGTTGAACATACTCATTACATTTATACATATATAAACTAAGGTTAGTTACTGTATCATTGAAAATAACTGATTTTTCTACATATTTCATCAGCTGAATCAAAGTTAGTTTTAACGAAAGAATAAGATGAAGTAAGTATTCGACATGGATCACGCCATGATTCACCAGATGGATGATTTTGACGGTGTAGAAATTTACTTCATCACAAGTAATAAAAACAGTTGTTTTTTTTCTGACCGAGTAATCGCTCAAATTGATGGAGAAACAGGTCGTGGATTTGGTATTAGAAGTGGTCCTAATATTCGACGAGGAAATGGTTCAAGATATGTAACTGATAAATATTTTATTGTTCCTGTATTACGATGAGGTCGAGGAAAAGCGAACACATGTGTTTGACTCTGTTGATATGGAAATATATCAATTTTTGGCCATCGATATTGTGCTCTTTCAATAGGAGTTGAATGAAGAGAATAAAACTTATACGATATTACTCGACGTGTATTTCGAAACCAGGCCTGCCATCTGTACCCCATTTGGACCAATTTTCTTTGGATCAGATTAAAATCATATTTTATGAAAATCAATTAAGTTATTGACTGTCGTTGACATCGTCATTTGCTTTGGTTTGCGAATAGTCAATTCTCAGACAAAAAATTTTTAAATGTAGCAAAGCGCACATTTTCATCCGCATAAACCTATTGAAATGCAGTGAATTTTTTTAAGGAAAACATCTAATTAATTCCAAAAGTTAATATAATGTTTTTAAAATTAATCATTGTTTTCTACTTTTGTGACTTTGATTTTTCAAAAGAATGATCTTTTTTCTGTTTCAAGAATTAAAAGAAGTAGAAAATTTAATGCTAACTTTGAACATGTATGGAGATAAAAGTTACAAATAAGTATACATCTATATTATTGTTACATTGTTAATACTAATGGGGTCTAAGTATAAGGTGAGTAGTTAATTAATCAACTGTGTTAGTAAAATGATCAATAAACAATCTCGCAATGTTCCCAATTATTGTGTTCATCTCTATTAGCAATCAATGAATTACCATTATATTCCGAGCATACAAATTTTTCATTTGCTTTTGATCGAAAAGCCACTATGGAATTAGAAACATTGATAATCTCAAAATGTTTCCATCCGTATGCTTCGTCATGGTTAGCAATAAGAGGAATATTGCCATAATTTCCAGGGGTAACAAATTTTCCATTTGTTTTCGATTGAAGAGCAATTCGACTTTCACTAATTGTATGCACTGTAAAACAGTAATTTATCCAGAGGGGGGGGGGGGGCGGGTGGGCGCCGCCCACCCGGAGATATGAAAAAGTTCTTGGATTTATCATCTACGTATATATATGTTGGGGGCAAAATTGAGATTTGGTCAAATTTAGAATTTGACCGGGCAAAACTAGAATTCCAATTTTGACCAGGCAAAATTAGAATTCCAAATTAGACTAGAATTTGCTTGGGCAAACTTGGAATTCCAAGTCTGCCCAGACAAAACTGGGATCTCAAATTTGACCAGCGCTTTCCTTTGGGCAAACTTGTGATTCCAATTTTGACCGGACAAAATTAGAATGAACCAGAGAAAAGTTTAAACAATCTAAAGAATTAAAACAGAGTATATTAATAAATCAATTTATTAAACAATATCGCTTTGTTTCGTTACACAATTAAAAAATCAACACCTAAATTTAAATACCCATATTTTTACAACCACCACGTTTAGAGTGACATTTTGGAATTCCAAGTTTGCCCAAGCAAATTCTAGTCTAATTTGGAATTCTAATTTTGTCTGGGCAGAATTGAAATCCCAATTTTGCCCCCAACATATACATAGCGTCGCTATGATAGCGACGTATTTTCTCGTTTTCTTTTTTCCCTTTCTTTTCTTCTCTCTTATATGTATACTAACGTATAGCTAGATCTGCCCGTCAGTTCTATCTATGCATCTTAGTCCATGTTTTCCTTCTTTTAATGAAGAAAACAATTTAAGTTATATGCAACCTTAGCAGTATTAAAAGCAGATGTTTCTTTTGTGTTTCTGTCGCAATACATTAGTCACACTCTTTTAAGTCATAGATTTCATTGCGATCGTAGGATTATTTTTCCTTCGTGGTATAGATCGTTCAAGAAATTTCTTGAAGAAATGGCATCAGGACAACAATCTCTGACTTCCTTTTTTAAAAGAAAAGAAAATACAGAAGAACCAGTAAATAATGTAGCAAAGAAAGGCAAGATAAGCAGTGATTCGAGTAACGTTACAAATGATGATTTAATCAAGATTCAAACGCTTTCGCGTACTGTGTTATTATCCGATATGCCATTAAATATCAATGATAATCGCCCATTAACTTCAACAGCAAATGATAATAAGAAACGTACATATCAAAAATGGTACTCAGATAGCTTTCCGTGGCTTTTATATGAATCTAACAAAGGTGGATTTTATCACATCTGTCGTGATTACTGGAAACCAACAACACCATCTTTCTCTGAAATGAATACGAGAACTAGAGGCACTTTTGTTATACATCCATTTATCAATTGGAGACATGCACCTGGTCCAAATGGAAGTTTACAAAAGCATCAAGATTCTTATTCCCTCTACTGAAAGGAGGGTTATGCGTCGAGCAGGTATTACAAAAAAAAACGAGTTGATGTTGGTTGGTTGGTTCGTTCGTTCTTTCACATCACTGTTCGATAGTGACTATTCAGTGACCCTAGTGGAGGACAAAGTTATACCGGAGGGTAATCGAGGTCGAGGAATCCGAATCCGCTGTTAGATTTCTGAAATTCCAATTAGCTAATTAGCTAATTAGCTAATTACTAATGAAGTAATAAAATTTTTTTTTGTTGTCGAGTAAGGGTTGACCGAAGGGTAATCGAGGTCGAGGATCTCGAAACCGATGTTAGTTTTTTCATGAACACTTTCTAACCCGTTTTTTGCGACAAAGGATCAATTTTTTAGACGATAATGTTTTAAGCAGGAATATGTAAAGCAAAATGTAACAGCTGACTGATGTCCGATCGCTGGATCTCCATAGTCACAAGCATATTAATGAGATCACATACTTTTATAAACAGCTATACTATACGGATATCATCTGATGCCAGTCATTTAAAATAATGTTTCGCTTGTCAGGTGTTGTCTTCGAGAGTCACAGTAGCACAAAGAGGGTGACTTTTAAAGAGGGAGTAGAGGAGAATGAATGAATTAGTTTCAAAAGTGGCTGTAGACTAAATGGAAGAGTGAAAATGTACATGTAACGGCTAGCCGCGAGTGGCCGACCGGAGGGAGGCCGACGAGCAACTACTCGTGGATTTCCAGAATAATATTTTTAAGAACAAACTTTGTGATTGTTATAGGGCTTTAAGATTTCTTGGACAGAAATTAATCGTTGCTCTGCACGAACATAGCTGGCAGCCATTTAAGGTTCCTCGTGGTGGAGAGAAGATTGAAACCTTTTCGAGAGAATCATATAGCTATCTAAAGCTTCTTAGTTTTTGATTATGAATTGATTTTCCGAAATGTGCTCATTTGCAGAACGCGTCTTCGTCCGAATGAAGTTAAGATAGTAAAATGAGTACGCATGGGAACAGCTAGCCGTGAGTGTCCGACCGAAGGGAGGCCGACGAACGACTAGTTGTTTCAGTGGCGTAACCAGGATTTTTAGACCAATGGGCAAACTTTGCTTAGGTTGAAAAAAAGTAGTGGGCAAAACGGGCAAGCTTTTTGTCGATAGCGCAAAACTTTTACACTGATTCAAGTTTCAAAACACGACCACAAACAAAAGTGAAAAATAAGGATCTTTTATTTTTTAGTATAAAAAACAGAAGAAAGTCCAATACGCTGTGTTGTTTCCTTCACTGTAGTGCAGTATAAGAGAATGCAAGACAGGAGTGCCCCGACGGTGCGAAGAAAATCGGTTGGAGTCGCGAATCTTCACGTTAATCTCGCAAATTTTGTTTATTTTTACTCACAAACTTAGGAGTAGCTTCAGAAGGTTTAGAGATAATCGTAAAATCTATCAAAAAGTTTGTAAGGCATCTCCGAATTTCTAATAGATTTCCGGAGAATTCTAAAATCTTTTTTAAATTTTCGAAAAATGTGGATAGACTAAAAGCAGTTCTTAGAAATTTTTTGTAAATCTTTGAAAATTTCTGAAAAAAATTCATAAAAATGCTTGAAATATTTTGAAATACTACACAGAACTTCGTAAAATAAATTGTTGTCTTAACTAATCAAAACATATAGGAAAATTCTGACAAAGTAAAATTTCAATGGGCAAGGTTCCTCAATACGAAATTACAATGGGCAAACTTCAAATTTAAATGGGCAATCGCCCATTTGCGCCCCCCCCCTCCTGGTTACGCCACTGAGTTGTTTCTTTTGAAAATTAGTTGAAAAGTGAGATTTATAAGACTGTCGCAAAGTGGCCATCATTTTTCTAAGGTATATATATATGACATCTTTTCGAGCTTCAAGAAAAAACTATGTAGATCACCAACTCCTTCGACTAAAACTGATAACAAAAGATATACTGTGGGTCACGAAGTTGTGAAGAATTTCAGCAACTTTGCTAGAGACGGACTCAACAAGAACGAGGTACTTTATAATATGAAAATATCATTAAACACTTATTAGGTACCAACGGCTAGCGGTGAGTTGTCGATCGGAGAGAGGCCGACAAACGACTAGGCGTTATAATTTCAGAAGATTTCAGGAAGTGAAATTGGTCTAGGCAAAACATTCTGACAAATTATCAAATGATCAGATCGTTCAACTGAAACAACTTTTTTCTCTCTTTGGACGAATAGTAGCGCTCTAATACTATCCTTTCAGTAGAGGGTTTAGCGGCTACTAGGCCGCGTTACTTGTTTGAGTAAAAAGATTCAAATGATTTGGTCAGTATCCCTAACTATTAATACTACAACCAACGGCGTTTTTGCTCCACCAACAGTATCTCACTGATAGACTTCATATGGAGTGAAGCTTTAGGTCTTGTGGCACTAGGCGTCAAAATCGAATGAAAATTGTGGCGGCAATGATACGAAACGTAAATCACCAATAATATTTTTATAGTAAAGACACTATATTGTATTTTAGACTTTCGATCATATAATCCAAACGTTGTATGGAAGAGTGGAAAAACTGCGGAAAGAATGGCAACCGTGGTCCTGAATTTTTTTACCAAATTTAAGTATCTAGATGAAATTATATCACTTCTAGTTAGGTGAAGATGAAAAACGGAGTGATTATGTGATTATCTATTTATTCATTTAAATGTCAAGACACATATTTTTGACGAAACAAAGAAAAGCAATTTTTACGCATAAAAAAACACCACAAAACTACACATCACATCTGTTCTTTTCTGTTTTTCTTTTGTACTACAATAAGCACACCTACGACGAGTAGAAACAACTTCTGACATATGAACTAACAATTGTGGTTTTTCAGAATTTTCGATGTCACAAATGCTTTTTTCGATGCGCATCCTCTTCTGATTACTGATTGCTAAGGGCCTTCCTGGTCTTTTTTTACCACAATAATTACCGATCAGTGCATTACCAATAGAGGATATATATATTCTATTGTATTAATCTTACTATCAAAAAGATCTTTATAACAAATATATGAATTTTCGAACACAACGTTGTTTCCCATAAATGTTGGTTTAATCAATAATTGTTTGAATCAAGTCTTGGGAAACTAAGCTAAGAAATGAATCGATTGATCGAATTATATCATTTCCTAGTGCGTGTTCGTCGAAATAATTGAGAGAAGTTGAAAAACTTGAGGTGTTGGTTCTCCATTTTCATTCATCCAGTGAACTATAGTTGAATTGTTCAATTATTGAATCATCACCTTCAGAATCACTACTTTCATTGTCCTTTGATGAGCTTATGTCATAATCTGAATTCATTGTAGTTTAGAAAAATAGTTAGGTTGTTGAGATCATCAAGACTCAATGACTCAATACAGAGATTTTGCCGAATTTAGATTTTTGAAGAATACTTTCTAAAATCGAATACATACGTCGCCGTACATTCTTCATGTTATTTACTCATACGAATACGTGCATTCTTGCAAAAATATGTCTCTACTATGAGTATTTGTCCAAAATATTTCTGCTAAACCATTAAATATGCAAAAGTACTTGAAAATCAGAGGTTTTCGCTGGGTGGTACATATATGTACCACTGGGACTCAAAGGATTAAGGGTTAAGGATTGCACAAATTGTGTTTAGAAACAACTATTCCTACCAATATCATTTATTTATGTGTGTTTCAGAAAGTGGAAAAGAGATTCATAAAAACAAATTCGGAGCAAATAGAAACTTCATAATTATTGACTTTTTTCTTATTTGTTCAATTTATGATTTATTTTTAAACTAAGTTGTAAAAGTCTTATCTCTTGCGATATTTTATGAGCTGAAAGATTTCGTTTATGGATTTTCAATTTTTGAATTCGACAAATCGACAAAGAGAATTTTGTTCTCATCCTCTCTCATAATGAAAATGGTTCATTTTTAAATTTAGTTTGCAGCGCTCGACAGTCAAAAGCGCAAACAGTTTTATTTAACCGTAAAATCATGTTCATATTCTATTACTCAATGGAATGCAATAACACTTCTTTTTGTGTTTTTTCATTTGTTGAGAAAAACTTGAGAGTGGTGATTATTTGCATTCTGCTGAGAAATATTCTAAGAAAAGGGAGTTTCCATGCCAAATGTATGATTCGAGTAATATTCTTTTACTATCAGTCACTTTTTTCGATAAATAGAGCAAACCGCTGATGAATTCCGAAGAATTTGAATTATGATTATTTACATCACTTGAAAACTATTTTCATGATAACTATCGAACGTTCAAAGGAATTTTAGATCTAACCATTTTACTTATGAAAAAAGAAATCGTTTTACAAATTCTACTCATTTACTTGTAAGTAAAATAGTCATTTTGTTGAGTTTTTTCTTCAATGATGAAAAGTATTAACTTTTTTCTAATAAAGATATTTCATCACGAAAATCTGCTCGCTCGATTTGTGTCCAATAGCCCTATGGTCAATGAACGGTTCAACAGTAGCTGGTGCTCGTGGATCTGTATCAACATATCTTTCTTCTCCAAAAATGGTTGTTATTGATAATACAAGTTCAATCTATGTTTTAAACAGTGGAAGTTATTGTGTATGGAAATTCTTTCCTGGAAATGCAACAATTGGTACTGTTATTATTAAAGGCTCATCAGGGAAGAATATAAAGCAATTTTCATCAAGTAAAATTTCGATTTTCATTTCAACTGAAACAAAACAATTCATCACCTTTTCTTCTAGTATCCGCTATGACGATGGATAACGATGGAAATATCTTTTTCTTGGATTCAGGTTCAACACGTATTACAAAATGGAATATACCACAAAATACAACAAGTCTTGTTATTAATGGAAGTTCATTTCTCAATTCGAATACAGGATCTAACGACTTTCTTTTAAATCCATTGGGAATGTTTATCGAGATGAATACAATGATCATTTGGATTGCTGATACAAATAAACATCGTATTGTGAAATGGTTAAACCAAACAACAGTTCAAATCATCGTCGGATGTTATGGAACGCAATCAAATCAATTCAAATATCCATATAATTTCTTTGTCGACGTGGAAAATAATTATACACTTTATGTAGCAGATACATATAATCATCGTATACAAATGTTTTTAAAGGATCAAACCAATGGAACAACAGTTGCTGGAATAACTAGTTATTATGGAACACAACTCAATCAACTATGGACGCCAACAGCAATTCTAGTTGATCAAAACCAATTTATGTATATTGTTGATAATGGGAATTCACGAATTCTTCAATGGAAAGCAGGTGAACAATTTGGAAAACTTATAACAGGAACATATACATCTGGTGGGTCAGGATCAGACCAACTTTCAAATCCATGGAGTTTGACATTTGATACAATCGGAAGACTTTATGTTGTTGATTATGGTAACGGTCGAATTCAAATGTACAATATCACTTGTTGTGAGACTAATCATTTCTTCACTTTTCTTTTCGTGATTTCCGTTTTTAGTATCAACAAATGATACAATGTCACCTTTATCTTCAACAACAACAACAACAACAACACAACGTAAGAAAATCTAGTTTATGCCGAAATGATCCGTTCTGTGTCTTCTTTTAAATAGCTAATGCATTTTCAGAATGTGATACACCTATTTGGTCATCGAATGGAATAACAGAGGCTGGTTCAAGCATAGGTGATTATGGTTCTGATTCTTCTCACTTAAATACTGTATACGATCTTTGGCTGGGTTCAAATGACACACTTTATGTATTAGATAGCGGTAACTATCGTGTACAACTATTTTATCCAAATCAACTATCAGGAATAACAGTTATAAAGTCAAGTTTTGGAAGTAGTCCCAACCAATTTGCTCTCAGTAAATATCGTTCTTTTTCTGTAAGTATAACCTCTTTGTTATTTATAGTGCATGCAATGGCCATTGGTTCTGATGGAAGTATTCATATTCTTGATAGTACAAATGCCCGTCTACTAAGATTTCCTCGGGGATCATCAAATGGAACAATCGTAGCTGGTGGAAACGGTGTCGGTAGTGCATTAAATAAATTGAATTATCCATTTGGATTTTTTCTTGATCCAATAACATTATATATTTGGATTGCTGATACAACTAATTGTCGTGTTGTTAAATGGATGTCAAAAACAAACATAACATTAGTTGCTGGTGGTTCTTGTGGTCCAGAAGCAGATCAATTTCTTTCCCTTTATGATGTATTTGTTGACACCGATGATTCAAATACAATTTATGCTGTTGATGCCGGCAATTTTCGAATTCAACAATGGTTTCAAGGTGCAACGAATGGAACAACTGTTGCAGGACAATCGGGTGTGAAAGGAAGTGGATTGACTCAATTATCAGATCCGTCAGCAGTGGTTTTAGAGAAAAGCAAAATAATGTATATTGCTGATGCAGGCAATAATAGAATCTTAAGATGGATTATTGGATCGAATTATGGTTCAGTCATTGTGGGAACAGATTCATATGGAAATTTACCTACTCAATTATACAGACCACAACGTCTTCGATTTGATTCCAAAGGAAATTTATATGTTCTTGACAATATGAATTATCGAGTTCAAAAATTTTCATTAATTTGTTGTGAGTTTAGTGAAATAATTAAAAATTCTTTTTCTTTTTGAATTATATTTTAGATCCATCAACAGCAATATCTAGTCAACTATCGACAAGCTATTCATCGTCAGCAAGTAAGAAAGAAATAAAAATCATTTAAAAGAAAAAGAATTGAACAATTATCTTTTATGATTAGCATCAATGGCCAGTTCAACAAAATCAACAACGACGACCACATCCATATCAACGTCAACAGCAACAACGTCGAGCACAGAACCTATCACATTATCAACAACCACGTCCATACCAACGTCCAGCACAGAATCCATCACATCATCAACAATAGTAGCAATGTCAACTGTTCTTCAAGGATCAACAGAAGCTTCAGCGACGTCTACAAGCTCATCATTCAGCTCTTTCTATTTAAAAATATCTCTAACAATTATACTCATTTACCATCTAAAAGATTAAATCTTTTTATTCTGGCGCAATTAACTTTTATCATGCTTTCATTGTCTATACACACATATTTTATTTCATTCGCTTTTTTATTTAGGGCAAATAAATAATCGCTTTTAATCTTTTAATGCAATTATTGACAAGATAGCAAAGCTCAATAACTAAAAAGTATTCATATTACATTACCGAAAAGACGTTCTGATCGATATCTATCTACGATATTGACAATTGGTTTCTATCATCATACGGGTATTTTCACATGGAATAGTTCAGACCATGAACTAGCCGGATATGTTCTAGGACTCAATTATCAGTATCCTAATATGCCATTGGCTATATCCAGCGGTTTACATGTTCGTTTTTCGGGTGCTTACATTGAAAATCTGAAGGGTCGTTTACTAACAAGTGTTCATCGTGATAGCAAGAAACAACACGGCGTTTCTTATTACCTTACTCTGCAAAGTATCCACGATTGACTCATCGACAATGGTTCCGTTTTGCACTGGCACGTGCTGTTCAATATTTTTCTTTTGCAGCAGATTTCCAGCAAGGACGTTTAGAAATCGAATTCACATTCTTAGCCAATGGTTACCCCTTGAAATATGTACAGTATCTGTTGCAACAATTCCTTCAGCGACACCCGTCACCTAAAAACTCGTTCTCTTTCAATAAGTCTTCCTATGATACATTTCGTCGTGACATATTTCCATATTATAATGCACGACTGTTGCAATCCATGGAAAATGGCAGTCTTCTTCTTGAGGGTGTGGGCATTGCGGAGGGCGCAGCCTACAGCGGCAGAGTCAGGCTCAATGTGAACGGGATTCGTTATCGTTAGTTGGCTGATAAGTGATAGTCATTTAGATAATAAAGTATTATGTGGTATTTAGTAGTCAGATGCCGATTACTTGATAGTCCGTTGATTGATAATAAGTAATCGGTTGGTAAATACTTAATTAACTGTTACATAATAGTTAATAATTGGTCAGTCAATGATTTAGAATCAATCACATACGAGCTGATAAGCGGATAACTCGAAACTTGGAGTTCTAGATTTAGAAGTTTAAAAGTTCAAAAGTTTAAAACTCAAGTAGTCGAATTCTAAACTGAAAGATTTAGAATTCGAATGAAAGTTTTAAAACTCGAATCGAATTAACGATTTCTACACTACTCCAAAAGTGATTTCACATGTGCCAATAGCATCAAAACAGAAAACTAACGAAAATCGATATATTTGAAATGAAAAGGTTACAAATGTCGACAAAAGATAAACATTCACGGTAAAAAGATGTTCCCTAGTCTCACTTCCATATCTCCAGCTTATAGTCTCGGTTTTATTCGTTTTCAATATTTTTGCGAAATAAATAAGAATGAACCATATTCCCTCTACTGAAAGGCGGGTATACACAGAATTTGAGCTAAAGTTCGTTCGTTTGTCCGTTCACGCACTTTACAGTGATGAAATAACAATCTATATTGCTGACGCCTAAGGGTTGACCGAAAGGTAATCACGGTCGAGGATCACGAATCCGGTGTTAGTTTCTCGAAATTCGAATTACCTCATTGGCTAATTAGCTAATTAAGCAATGAAAATTTTCCTTGTTGTGGAGTAAGGGTTGACCGAAGGGTAATCGAGGTCGAGGATCACGAATCCGGTGTTAGTTTTTTCATAAACATTTTCTAGCCCGTTTTTTTGCGACAAAGGATCAATTTTTTAGACGATAATGTTTTAAGTGGCAATAAGTACAACAAAATGTAATAGCTAACTGACGTCCGATCGCTGGATCTCCATAGTCATCACCATATTAATGAGATCACACACTTTTATAAACAGCTATACTATACGAATATCATCTGATGCCAGCCATTCAAAATAATGTTTCGCTTGTCAAGTGTTGTCTTCGAGAGTCACAGTAGTACAAAGAGGGTGACTTTTAAAGAGGGAATATAAGAGAATGAATGAATTAGTTTCAAAAGTGACTCTAGACTAAATGAAAGAGTGAAAATGTACATGGAACGGCTAGCCACGAGTGGCCGACCGGAGGGAGGCCGACGAGCGACTAGTCGTCGATTTGAAGAATAATATTTTCAAGGACGAATTTTGTGATTTCTACAGAGCTTTAAGATTTCTTGGTCAGAAATTAATCGTCGCTTTCCACGAACATAGCTGGCAGCTATTTAAGGTTCCTCGTGGTGGAGTGAATATTGAAAACTTTTCCAGAGAATCATATAGCTATGTAAATTTTATAAGTTTTTGATTATGAATTGATTTTCCGAAAAGAGCTCATTTTCGAAACGCGTCTTCGTCCGAATGAAGTTAAGATAGTAAAGCGAGTACGCATGGGAACAGCTAGCCGTAAGTGGCCGACCGACTAGATGTTTCTTTTGAAAATTAGTTGAAAAGTGAGATTTATAAGATTGTCGCATAGTGTCCATAATTTTGCTAAGGTCTATATATATATATTTACGTATATAACGTCTTTTCGAGCTTCGAGAAAAAAATTCCCTCGACTGAAAGGAGGGTCATATAAAAAAAAAGTTTGTTTGTTTGTTTGTCTGTCTGTCTGTGTCAGGGTCAAAGGTCAAAGGTCAAAAAAACATTTTTTTGAAAATGCTCAAAACTTCATAAAACATCGTTTGGGAGGGGTGTTGAGGCTAGATCTTGGTATAGGATACGTGACGGGGTCAAAATAACTCTGTAGAAGATGAATTCAAAGGCGCACGAAACATTCGTTCAAGATATGGCATAGATCGTTAAAGACTATTCTCTATCTGACGCAGAAAAGATCAGATATAATGACTTGGTCGCCTGTATGATTCTTTGTATGTTTCCGCTTCACTGCTTGCTACAAGAATTAGGCAAAGGTATACAAGTGATTTCCTTGTAACAGTCCGTCGAGAAAATCGGTGACGATTGATTATAAATCTGAATCTAATTTTGTTCACCATTTTGTCTGTGCTTTGCTCTTTACTCAAGTAAATAGATTTTCAAATATTTATCTGAAAATGTCGTCTAGGAATTCTTATGGGAAGCGTAAAATGTCTGATAATATAGCTATCCATACTCATGTATGAAGTACGTACAAGCATAGAAAATGATGAATCTTAGCTATAGAAGTCACAATGTAGTTACATTGTTTGTTACTGCAAATCCCAAAGAGAACTATATTCCTTGTATATCTCTTGATCATTTTAGAGTCAAGACCATAAGTAATCTGCTTAAAACTGATGATGTAGTGCAATAATTTCTATTTTAAAATTATGGTGGGATACCGAAATTTTAACAAAGAAACGAGC